CCCAGATCAACCTGGACTTCTGTTTGTTTGAGATAAAGTCTCACTGTGTATTTCCAGCTCACTTGAACTCCTTAGGTAGCCCAGACTGGCCTCACCCGGGGAGAGCCTCCTGCCTCTGCCTCCTGAGGCTTGAGATTTTTCTTCCTTTTCCTTTGCCTCTCTTTCCCTCTCAGGATGGTCACCGAAGACTGTCCTGGCCACGCCGTTGCCCTCTGCAGCAGCCCTGTGGCGGAAGCCGCCCCTTGTGCACGGGTCTTCTGTCTCCAGCCCTGTTCCAGTCTTGCTCACTGAGTTTCATAAGAGCAATTTTTTTTTTTGCTTTGTTTTGCTTTTTGAGACTCACTATGCAGTTGAAGCTGGCCTTGAATCTACTCTGTAGCCCAGGCTGGCCTCAGATTCGCATCAGTCCTCCTGCCTCAGCCTCCCAAGTCCTAGATTACAGGCGTGCACCACTGTCACACCTGGCTCCTAATAACAATTCTTGTTTTGTTTTTGTCTTTTTGGGAGAGGGGGACGGGAATCGAACTCGGGACCTCACGCTTGCCAGGCAGGCTCCGTGCCGCTGTTTTTACCTTGTTCAGTCGGGGCCTCACTGTGCAGTCCAGGCTGGCGTGAACTCCTTTGTGCCCTAGGCTGGCCTTGACTCTTGGTGGACCTCCTGCCTCAGCCTGTGCCACCGCCCTGGCACTGAGGACAATTTGGCCGCCCTCACCGTTCTGTCCCCTCGTGTCCGTGTGTGTCTGAGAGTCTGGTTTTGACTGGAATTGCGCTGCAAGAGAAGTGGTTTGAGGAGATCCTGAAATTTTGGCTGAAATCCTCAGGCGCAGTGATTTATCTGGGTGCTTGTCTTACTCTGTGCTGTTTCCTGGGTTTAGCTCTGCTTGTTGGTCCGAGATGGGCTGGCCTCAGAGTCCTGGGCCCGAGGGAGCCCCGCCTCAGCCTCCCGGACGGCTGGACTGCAGCGGGGCCGCCGGGCCTGTGCGCAGTTAAATCATTTCACTCCATGTACCGTTCAGCGCCCGGAGACGCAGGTGCGGCCGGGCGCTGGAGCTGGCCGGCCCTCGCCGTCCCTGCCTGATGCCGGACCTGGGGCTCCTGAACCCTGGCTCCTTGGTGCCACTCCCGCGGGTGCCCGAGGGGCTGTTCTAGACTCCTGGATTTGGCTTGCTGTTGGGGTTTGACTGCAGCGGCTGAACCTAGGACTCCTACACACTCTGCATGAGCCCCACCTGAGCCCACCTGCCCCGCTTTAACCCCGCTAAGGCTCTTCACGGATGCCAGCTGCAGCTTTCCTGCGGGCTGGTCTGGCTTTCGCACCAGGCCGGGCCGGCTCTGCAGCAAGCTGGGAGGCGGGTGCTTCCTCCCAAGAGCTGGGTTCAGCCCGCGGTGGCTCATGCTGTGCCGCTCCGGGAGGCGAGGGCAGCAGCTGATTCCAGCCCAGGTTAGGCAGCTCCGTGACTTGGTGGAACCCTGAGCACACACGGGCCTGGTCCTGGTCTCTGTCCTCGTGCTGGTCGCAGAAATTTATCAACTGTTCTGAGACTTTCCAAGACCCAGCTTTGGGCTTACCCGCCTTTCTCTCTTGTGAATTTGGTTACAATTTCACAAAGTTTTGCTTTTATTTTTATTATTGTTCCCCCGCATTCAATTTCGCTTCTGTTTTCTGCCTCTTGCTGGTTTTGAGACGTCTCACCGCGTTCCCCAGGCTGGGCTTGAGCCCCTGGGCTCCGGAGATCGTCCTGCCTCAGCTTCCCGAGCAGCTGAGCTGCAGATGCACGTCACCCATGCTGCCTTGGTGTTCTGCTTCCTCCTCCTCCTCCTCTCTTCTTCTTCTGTGGTTGTTGCTGTCTTGGAGAGAGCGGAACTGGGGATTTAAGTCGGGGGGGTACCTAGCTACACCCCGCAGTTTGGAGCCAGGGTCTCGCTGAGCTGCCCGGCTGGCCTCAGCTGGAGGCCCTCCTGCCTCGGCCTCCTGAGAGGAAGGGGTGACAGCTGTGTGCTCCTTCCTGGGATTTCCTCCTGCCGGGTGGCGGCCTCCGGTGTGCTGGCCGAGTGTGCCGGGTTGTAGCCCGCGGTCTGCCTGCGTCGTGCCTGTTCCCCTTTAGTTAAACCCGTTCCTTTTTCCCTTGTGACATGGCCGTCCCCAGAGGTGATTTAGCGGCGTCAGTGTTGCGGTGCTCCGAGCTGCGTCTCCTCGTGGATTCTTCTGGAGCCCAGCCCTGGAAGCGCATGGTGGGGTTCAGATCGCTGGGACGTGGGCAGACAGAGCCGGTGCTGAGGGCTGCGTGGCCCTGGTGGCGGCCCCACTGTGTCCCCCGCCAGGCTTGGCAAACTGGGTCGGAACCTGTGACTGCACCCAGCGGGGCTGTGCCCGGTTACCTGGGGGTTTGACCGCAGCGTGTTTACTTGGGGTTTGGGGGGCAGGAGAAGCCGCGGGGCCCTCGGCTCGGCCTTTTTTTCCGCATTTAGCAGAATCGCCCCGGCTGTGCAGCCCGGCCTACGGAGCTCTGCTCCCGCCCGACTCCCCTCGACCTCCCCTGTGACACCATGAGGCCACGCTGGCATCCGCCCCGCTCCACGGCCCGTGACAGGGCACAGCTGCTCCTCCAGCTCTGCTGGTCCTGAGGGAGCTCAGCTGTGCCTCTCAGCAGCCTGCGTAATGCTGACCCCTGGGCAGTGCTGACCCCTGGGCAGTGCTGACCCCTGGGCAGTGCTGACTCCTGGGCAATGCTGACCCCTGGGCTGCCACCGGGAGGCCGAGGCGCAGACTTCCTGCTTCTGGGTCCCTCCAGTGTGCTAGCCTGGGGGAGGTCAGCCCTGGGCTGGGGCTGGAGCACAGGGCAGAAGACCTCCTCTGTCTTTGTAAGTGCTTCTAACAGGCAGTAAACTCGTTCAGAGACCAGATGGAAGAAACTCCCCACTACCCATTCTGTGCCTTCATGAAGGAGGTGGCATCTGTGTGGCTTCCTGCCTGGCACCATATGTGCAAAGGTCCTGAGGCACTGCGGCCCTGTGGAGGCAGTGGGAGGCCATGGCCTGGCAGCTGTGCTCCAGGGAGCTCACCTCGGCTGTGCCTTCGGGAGCAACGCTGAGGGCTCAGCAGAGCAGGGTGCAGGGAAGAGCAGCAGAGAGGTCAGACGGTCGGGTTCTAGGGGGTGCAGGTGAGGCACAGTGGGGAGCTCGTGGCCCTGCTCCATCAGGTGTCTGTGGTGTTTTGTGGTGGGTCTCCCTGCGTAGCTCAGGCTGGCCTCGAACTTACAGTGACCCTCCTGCCTCAGCCTCTCGAGTGCTGCAGCAAGTGGTCAGTAAATACATGGAAAAGTGTTCAGCACGGCCGGCCACTGAGAAACGCAAACTAAACCTGCACCGAGGTTCCGTGTCACCCCAGCGGCTGCCCGTCACCGGGAATCAGGTAACACACGTGCTGAGGAGGCCACGTGGAGAAGGGGCCTGCGGTAGGGGACTGCAAACCCGTACAACTGCTGTGCGCATCATCCTGGGGAGTCCTCGGAACTAAAACAGAAATTCCACGCAGCCCAGCGTCTTCCTGAGGAGCTAAAGACGCCACATCACAGGGACCCCTCGCACACCCGTGTCTGTAGTGCACAATCCACAACAGCTTCACCCTGGAAACAGCCCACGCGGCCCACAGACCACAGGATAAAGAAACTGTGGTAGTTACACACCATGGAGTACTACTCTGCCATAAAGAAGGATAAACTTAAGACACTGGCTTTTCTCCCACGAGAGACCCCAGGTGTAAATGCTCAGCAGGAGGAAGAGACCAAGTGATGGAGGGCGGAGAGGCGTAAAAACAGTGAAGGCCTGTCTGATGCTGGGTACAGAAGTTTCCAGAAGAGGCGGACCTGTGGCCAGGGTGGGGAGTGACGTGCGGGCAGGTCCTGGGAGCCTCGTGGGCGCCCTCGGCCCGAGGCCTCCTGCCAGCACTGTCAGGCTGCGTCCAGCGCACAGGGCTCCGTCCTGCTCTGCCTCGGTGCCCGGCCCAGCGGACCACAGGGAGCGGCAGAGAGGGCTGGAGGGGCCGGGGCAGGGCTTCCCCGACCCCCTGGGAACCACGCTGCGAGGGGGCAGGAGGAAGGCGGCCCTGGGGTGAGGGGACAGGGCCGGAGGCGGGGACCGGTGGCACGGGCCGTCTGCGCGGATCCCTTACCACAGGCCTCCTGGGAAGATGGGTCCCCACAGCCGTCCTGAGGCGGGGTCTGGAGATGGCCTGCCTGGCCAGGCCTGGCCCCCACTGAAGACAGAGGAGCGGGCATGGCGGTGCAGGACTGTGGTCCCCGCGCCCGGGGAGGCTGAAGCAGGAGGGTCGCACGTTTGAGCACCGGGGCGGCTTACAGGGGCAGCGAGACCCTGTCGTGAAATCCAAAGTGACGAAGGGCAGGGGTGTGGCTCAGCGGGAAAACTGGGTTCCGTCCCCTCCCCACTGCCAGGCAAACTCATAAATAAACGCAAAACTGCAAAGCCCGCGTGGAGACCGAGGCTGAGACCTGAGACGAGGAGCCTTGGCCACTGCTGCCCCTCCTCCACCTCCGCCTCTGCCCGGGCGCCCCTGCGGGCCCCTGCCGTGTGGTCCTGAGCTGCTCGCTGCTCCGTGTCATCTAAAGGGCTGAGGTCCCCCATGTCTGCAAAGCCAGGGAGACCTGGGCAAGGCCACCCCGCCTGGCCTCCCTGGGGAGGGGACAGGACGGCCCAGCGGCTCTAACAGCCGCATCCGGGATGAGGCTTTGCGTGGGCACAGGGCAGGACTCTCCTGACACCGCCTTGGGCGCACAGCCGCTGCCACCCCGGCTGGGGCCGCCAGGAACCACCTGGGCTGCTGCCCGCACCTTGGCCACTCCGAGCCCAGCGTCACCAGCGGGGTGGTGACCACCTCAAAGTCCAGAAGCCTCCAGATCTGGCCCTGCACACCAGACAGGCCACGGTCCATGGCACATGAGAACACGTTCATTGATCGCCTGCAGACTGTCGACACTCTCAGGGGCGCTTCTTACTTATTTATTTTGGGGGCGTTGAACCCTCATCCTCGCGCTTGCCAGGGGCCCTGTTTGGAGATAGCTGTCATGTCCATGAGTGGTGGGGGGTCCCTGAGTCGCCAGAGGCCTCACCCTGGCCTCCCACACTCCTGGGGCCTGCTGAGCACCAGGTCTGTCCGCACGGTGCCTGTCCCAAGACGCTGCAGCTGGCGTGACGGGAGGCAGCCCGGGCTCACGGTGGCCTCATGGCACCGTGCTCCGTCTGGGCGCCGTGCCCCTGAGGACAGGCCCCCTCCTGCCGCCCCGTGCCCAGGGCTGCTTGCCCCTTGGTGGTGCCTGTGCTCAGCTTCGCGTCCCACCTGCACCCAACACGGGCCATTGGCCACCTCCCCGGGACCCCGACCCCCGTTTCCCCATGCGTGGCACCAGTGGCTCCCTGAGTGCCCGGGACAGCAGGACGCTGGGACTTGTGTCCCGGGCGTGGCTGTCCAGGAAGCCTCTTCCCATCGCACAGGCTCCCGGGCATCCGGCTGGCACAAGGTGGCCCCAGGCCAGCAGGTGAGGCTCCCAGGGGAAACAGGCTGGACACAGGGAAGGAGGCCACGGGCCAGGCCAGAGGCAGCCGGGGCCCAGGGCTGTGGCCACCGCCGGAGGCCGAGCACAGGGACGTGGGGACAGCCTGGCCTCTCGCAGCGCCTGGGACGCGGTGATGCCCCACCCGGGTTGGCGCGGCCTTGGAGAGGCCAGTCCAGGGTCCCCACCGCCGCGGGCAGCCTGGGAGTCGGGTGCAGCGGCCTGGATTCTCTTGGGCCGCCTCTCCTGCTGTCCCGGACCAAGGCCTCATGTGACCTCGCACCTTGGCAGCCCGGTGAGGCCGGGTCAGGACTGAGCCTGACAGCTGGGGGACACGAGTCAGCCACCCCGAAAAGCACAGAACCTTCTAGAAGCACAGCACATCCATCCCAGGGACCTTCAGGCGATACTTCTGTGCTGGAGGAAAGCTGTGGCTTCTGGAACATTCCCTCCAGCAGGGAGGTGACGCCATGACGCCCTGCGTTGGTGAGCTCTGCCGAGAGGCTCAGCTCCAGGCTGCTGCTCGGGGTCCCGCTCGGCTCCCTCCTGCTGTCCCAGGGCACCGGTCCCCCCTTCCTCCACCCCAGGGTGGACGCGAGGTCACGCCACATGGCAGGATGCGGCAGGGGACCGCCATAGGCCAGCACTGAGGGTCTGCAGGGCGGGGATCTTGGAAGAGCCACTCCAGCTGTGGCAGAGAGAGGGCGCCATCGCCACGGGCGGGGAGACGCCAGCCTCTGATCCCGGCCCTCGGGAGGCTGAGGCAGGACGATCACCACAAACTCAAGGCTGTCCTGGGCTGTACAGTGAGACCCTGTCTGCAAAGTAAAAATAAATATACAAATAAAAAGGAAAAGACAAGAAAATCCCAGCTGGGCGTGATGTGGCCTCCGTGGGGCCAAGGACCCGCTCCGACCGCTCTGCGGGCCTGTCACCGAGCCTGGCCTTCCTCGAAGTAGGTGCAGAAGCCGCTGACTCCTTCTGGGCGCCAAGGCCCGAGGCCACCATGGCTCCGGTCAGGGCTCGGGAAGCCCTGGCCCACAGTGGCTGCCCTGCACACCCCTCTGCCCCGAGGCTGGGACAGATCCCTGCTTCTCAGGGATGGGGACAGTGGTCCCTGTTCCCTCGCTTCCCCAGGTGACCTCTCTCTGTGCCCACCTCTGCCCCTCAGCCCACACGGCTCACCACCGATTCCATTCCACATCCCCGTGTCAGGCTGCTCGTGTCTGCCTGGTGGAGTTTTTGAAACAAGGTCTCCTGATGGACTCCAGGCTGGCCTTGAACTTGTGCTGATCCTCATGCCTCAGCCTCCTGGACGGTAACCACCTTCACTTCTGTCATACTAAGAGCAGCAGGAACCGTGCACCCAGGGCCTTTGCATATGGTCACCTGTGGGTCCGCACTGGACAGTGTCCCCCGGCGTCACGTCCTGCTGGCCTCAGCATGGAGCCTGCAGGGAGACAGGTCTCAGCCGCTATTCGAGTTACAGCTCCAGGACACTGATGCTCGCCTGAAGTAGAGCCAGGCTGCAGGGATGTGCCAGAAGGGACCGGGAAGGGCATCGTGCCCTGGAGGGAGCCGGGTGACGTCGGGCCTGCAGCTGCCAGGCCTGGGGAAGACGCATTTCCGTATCTGAGCCCCAGGCTCACGCAGTTGGGGTCTCAGCGTCTACAGAAACCGATGCCCTCAGCGACAGCGTCTGAGTCACTTCCTTGTCGCCAGCTCGGCACAGCCTGCAGCCTGGGGGCCAGGGCCGCCGTGGCCTGCCTTCCGTCCAGGTTGGAGGTGGTGGAGAAGCAGCCATGCGGCCCAGGGCCCGGTGGAGAGCTGCTCCCCGCACGGCGAACAGGAAGTCCAGGCTTCAGGCCCCGCCCTGCCGCAGCCAGCACGGAGCCCCGTGACCCAGTCACCCCCAAACCCCTGTCTAGGGGCACAGCAGGCCTCAGGGGCCATCCAGGCCTAAACCCCACAGCTACTGGCCCTGCAGCCTGCTGGACCTGTGACTGCCCATCCTGGGGCGGGGAGCGAATATCCCTGGGCTGAGGAAATCGCACCCCCAGAAGCGTTTCACACACAGCCCCTTGCTTGGCCCTAGTCTGGATGTAGCTGACCCGGATACGGCCGCAGCTGGGTTTGAAGGTGACCAGGGCTGCTGGGGCCAGGGCGGCACCCAGGGAGGACCGATTCCCTCTGCCCCACTGCGCCGAGGGTTAGTCCTCCCGGAAGCACCACCGCTGGGCCCAGCCGACCCGAGGGCTCTCGGGGGTCCTGTGGGCAGTGTCAGGGGGCGTCACCAGGAAGTCCAGGCACCAGGCTGAGCGTGGCTGCCAGTTCTCAAGGACAGGACGGGGGTGAGTGAGTCGCACTGGGGTTGCAACACCCCTCTCTTTAGGTTACAAACACACTTCCGCTCTGGCTCTGTGGGTTTCCCTGGGGCCAAATAAGTGCCAGATGGTGAATTCAAAGAGAAGACTCAGAAACAGGAACAGAAGAAACGCCTTTGTTCCATGTTAGAACTGTTTCTTTCGTAAACTCAGGATGTATCAGGGTTAGCTACAGTGAGTAAGGAAGTTCCACGGTTCCTCTCCACCTAAGCAGGGTGAGACATTTGTATCTCCTGTATGTAAAAGGAACATCACATACAGACCTAGAACCTAGGTGCCTCATGGTCCAAGATGGCTGCTACACTCCAGCCATCATTACTCATGTTCCAGACAGGAAGGACCATTGGCAGAGCACAGACATTGGGCTCCGCCCTCCTGACCACTGCCTGTGCCACCTGGGTGCCCTGCTTAGTACCTGACCTCGGTTACTCTCAGTAAACGGGGCCTGCAGGCCCGACCGCCTGTGATGTGTCACCACCACAAGCCTGGGCTCCCAGTGCCGCGTGAAGAGCCGCAGCACCCGGTGTCCAGGGCGTCCCCCTTCTCTGAGGAGGCCGCGGGAGGAAGGGCGCCATGGTGCGCCTGAATAGGAGCCTCGGATTGGCCTAAATGGGTGGCAGGCGTCACTGTCTGGCGGCTCGCAGTCCACCTATGTATCCCTTGAGGGCCTGGCACGCGCTTCCCACCTTCCGGTTTTGCCCCGCCCTGCCCAGCGCCCAGCGCCCAGCGCCCAGCGCCCTGCATGCCCTTCTTTCCTTTATGGGGCAGCCCTGATCACATGACTCCACACGATAGCCAATCACAGAGTCCCAACCCTGACCCTGGGTGAGCACATGACTCTGGTTGGCCGGTTGGAAGGTCCCACCCCTGGCCGTTGGCCTTTCTCATTGGCTGATGTCTCAGCAGGTTTCCCCCTGGATTGGCCAGCTTTGTGTTGCTGGGAGAAACCTGATGTGGTTTAAAGGAAGAGGGTGGCTGGTGGGCTCGGGGTTCTGGTTGTGATGAAAGGGTTGGGGTACGAAGGCTGCTTACCTCAAGGGATCAAGGAAGGGGAGAAGCCAGAGAGGAAGAGGCCGGGATCAGATCTCCCCGAGGTCACATCGGAAAGGACTTTGCCCCAGAGAGGACACCAGAGCAGTGAGAGGCCACCAGGGGATGTTTGCCTTGAGGTCACCTTCCCCGGCCCCAGGCAGTTTACCTTCGGCTCCAAATGAATTCCAATGGGCTGCTTGGGCGTCAGCAATGCCCCCTTAGGCACCACCCCAGACCAGAGCTACCTGTGTGCCCCCCACACCACGTGTGGCCCAGAGAAAGCCAGCCCCCCCGGGGGGTCAAGGAATTTCTCTCCATATCCTTAAAATAAAGGCCACTTTACATTCTGTCTTCTAACCGCACCGAAAATCCTATCAACACCCCATGACCCACTAGACACCCAGAGTGTCTGACGCCCCAGGCTGCTCACAAACTCCAGCTGACAACTGAGATAAACCGCCCCCTGGCTGGCTGGCTGAGTCCGTTGGTGCTGCTGTAACTCAAGACCCGGGAGCCGGTTGCTGTAAACATGGAGGCAGGAGCTTTGCTCTGCAGGCTGGTGCCAGGCAGGTTGCTCTCTGTTTCCAGACGATGCCTCATTGGGGTGCACCTTCGGGAGGCAATGGACGGGCACTAGAGTGGCGGAAGAGATGGCAGGTGACCCTTCCACGGCTCTTGAGTGAAGGCCGGGATCTCGGCCCTGAGCACTCTGCCCTGCACGTGGCCACCTCCTGAGGCCCCAGCTCCGGTGGCCTTGGGAGTAGGCCCCCCACAGTGATGGCAGTGCGGCTGTGGGGTTTGGCAGCCTGGAGATGGTGGGGACACGTGCATGGGCGGACAGCATTTGCTTTGTGCTCGATGTACAGCAGATTGTCCACCCCGGCTGCTGGCCAGGGCCTGCCTTCCTCTGCATGTGCCACACACTGATGGCCTTCGAGTGTCCCCAGCTGGTGGTGCCAGGCCACTGTGACAGCTCCCCTGCCTCCCCAGGGGCGGGGCCGGTTGGGTTCTTTCTCCTGAAAACCGGAGCAGGGAGGCAGTAAGCACAGCCCCTGCTGGCCTCTGGGACAAGGGGACTCAAACTCCTTGCTGGTGGTGGTCACGTCCACGGGGAACGGCAGGCAGGGGCTGAGAGATACAAGGGGGGTTCGGGGGACCTGCCACAGCCCAGTACCAACTGGTGAAGCTGTCTTCCCCAGCCTATGGGTTCCTCTTTCTGAGCCACACCCATCACAAGCAAAACAGATGCCTGAATGCCTGGCTGGTGGGGCACCGGCATGGACATCCAGCCTAGTCAAGTCCTCTGGTATCCACAGCCTAAGGCAACACCCAGTGCTGCCACTTGAGGCCCGGAAGGAAGAGCATTCTGAATGGCCTGTCCAGACTTGCTGACCAAATGGTCAGACTTGCTGACCTACGAAGTCAAAGGCAAAACGGGATGATGTCTAAGCCACTGTGTCGGTGTGATTTGTTAGCCAGCAACACTGACCGTAACTGAGAAGCTTATTTATTGACTCCCCTGAAATCCTGACAAATGACACAGCTCAAAAATGTCCGGCAGCCTCACACTGTAGCAAACCCAAACTCCCTGTGATCAGAGGCCTCGTGTTTACAGACCAAGGTCACGTGGTATCTCAGCCCTTTCAGGCTGTGATAACAACACATACCACGCGGGTGGCCTGGTCACAGGAGACTTTCCTCCTCCCAGATGTGGAGTCTGGGATGTCCAAGGTCAGCCAGGGATACCAGGCTCACGCGCCAGGGTCCTGTGGCTGCATCTCCGCCACCGTTATCCTCGGAGTGCCTGCTCCCAGAGGGGTGACCCCAGAGCTGTCCTGGGCCGGCAAGAGGCCTGCAGGGTGGTCATATGGAGCATCTTCAAGCTGCTGTGGTCAGGCCTGGAAGCCCAGCACGCTGGAAGCTGAGGCAGGGGGGTGGCAAGTTGCAGCCCAGCCGGGGTGTCTTAGCAGCCCCCTTTCTCAGAATTAAAAGATGAAATATAAAAACAGGGGTGTCGTTCAGCACGAGAGCCTGGGGTTCAGTCCCCAGCACTGAAGGTTCCTTAAGCGCCCTCGTGGAGGCAGAGGTCAGAGGAGCAGAGCTGTGGACATTCCACTGCTGTCCACCCCGAGCCTCGCCCCAGGATGGGCCTGGGAGGAATCCGGCCCTCGCAGCTCCCTCCCTGGCTGGCTGGGCAGCCATGGCCCATAGTCCTCGTCCCTGGCAGTGGCAGCCGAGGGGGCAGAGGTGTCAGCTCAAATCCCAGACCCTCCTCCTCGGGGAGGGCCGAGCCCTCGGGGAAGCGCTTCGTGTCCTCTGTGTCCAGCACCTGCCTGGTGAAACGGGCGGCCAGCGCTGGCGCAGGTGGCTGCAGGTGGGGTGGCCAGGGCGCAGTGTCCCCGGAAGGGTGGCTGGTCCGCGCTCCCCGGGGGTCCCTCCCTCCCTCCCCAGCCCAGGGTTTGCACACGGCCCGGAGCTAGCCCAAGCCAGGCTCTGGCCCTCACGGTCGGCGCAGCGGGGTCGGCGCCCTGCTCCTGCGGAAGGAGCCGACGGGGACCCCGGGGCGCCCCCCAGCCCCTCGAGGGAAGCTCCCCACTGGGCAAAGGTGCTCAGCGCTGGGCACAGGCTCGGCTCGGGCTCCAGCTCCCGGCTGCACGGCGGGCTCACTCCGGCTGCGGGCCCCGCGGACGCGAACACGCGTGTCCCTGCGGCCACGCCTCCGCCCCGCCCCAACCGCGCTCCTCGGGCGGCTCATCTGCCGTCGTCCTGGAGGTCGCTTCCCGAGCCACAGTCTCCACGCGGGTTGCAGACGGTGCGATCTGGAAGGCGCTCAATGAAAACGATTTTTTACGGTCACGGCGCGAAGCCCAGCCCGGACTCGGCGCCCCGCGCCCACTGCGCACGCGCACACCGAGCCCCGGGCGGGGCGTGGCCTATGGCGGGGCAGAGGCTGCACGGCCCAATCAGCGCCGGCGTTCCCCACGGGGGCGTGGCTTCGGTCTACAAGAGGCGGTGCGCGGCCCCGCGGCGCCCACTCGCAGCCCTCGGCGCGTCGGAGCTTCGTGTGCTCGCGTTGCCCACTCGCCAGGCGGGCCGAGCCCGCGCTGCCTGCGCAGACTGCTCCACGCGGGAGGCCGCCAAGCCCCCACTCCGCCGTCCCACGCGGGAGCCGCCGCGAGGTGTGATCGGAGCCCGCGGAGGTAAGCGTGGCGTGGATGCCTCTCGTGCAGCGCGATCTGCGACCCGCTGACCCTGATGCCCAGAGCCGAGTGGCCGGAGGGGATGCCGCTGCGTGGAGCGTGGCGGGCACGGTGGGGAAGGCTGTCGAAGCATGCAGAAGCCTTGCTTTGAGGCCTGTGCATTACAGATGAGGAAACTGAGGCACAGCGACCAAGCCTCTGGGCCAGGACGCTGTTGGGCCGCCTGGCATCAGTCGCTGTTGGCACAGTGTGCTCGCAGAGAACGCTGCTTGCCCTTCTCCTCGGCCCATTGGGGTCCCGTGCGCCCTCAGTGGCGGTGTTCCTGGAAGCTGATGGGCCATGTGGAGGGCTCGAGTTCGGCCCACGCGGGGGGAGCGGCAGGACGTCACAGGCAGGTGCCTCCTGCTCTGTACATCGGTCACGCCTCTTTACGGTGTCATTTGCAACAGACCGGCGAGGTGACTTTTCCCGTCCAGATGGAGAGTCCAGGGCAGGACCGGGGGCTGGAACCCAGCTCTGCTGCCACTAAGGCTCAGGGGCACAGGCTCGAGGGCGGAGGGCAGGCAGTTCCTGCAGTGCGGGGAACACACTTCAGGGGCTCCTTACCCAGAGTGGGCATCGCATGGCCGTCTGCGTGGGAAGCCTTGGGCTGGGGCTGAGGGCACGCTCTGGGTGCTGCAGGGTCTGTGCCCCAGATGGAGAGCTAGACCAGAGCGACTCCATGCAGGGCTGGCCAGGGGACACAGTGGCAGGGGACCCAGTTGGTCCCTGGACACCTTTCAGTCTAAGGATGCATGGCTGGTCTAGAGAGAGAAGCCTATAGAAGGGTGGCGTGTAAATGCCCAGCTCACCCAGCACCCAGGGCCAGGTGTGGACTCCGCTCTGAGCCTGCAAACTCCTTGCCCTGAGGGTGTGGGGAGCCGGCTGCCCCTCGCTGGGTCTGGAGTCTGATGGTGCTGCAGGACGATTGTCTGTCCTGGGCTCTGTGCTGCAGGCATCTGGTGTCTGCTCTGCCACCTCTGGTTGTCTGCATGTTGGGGCGGGGCAGGCAGTGCTGGCTGGGTCGCAGCTGTGGCAGGTGCGAGGCTGGGCATACAGCGCACCTGCAGCACACCTGGGCAGCTGGAGAGCCGAGACCCGGCAAACGGGAGTGCTCGCCCGAGGCACCCTGGCTGGTGTATGGCATCGTCACCCAGGTGGGTCTCTCTGTGGGTCCTGCCTCTCCTGAGACCAGTGTTTGCCTGCTGCCAATGCCCCACCTCTGATGCTGGCTTCCAACAGGGCTGTCGGGCTGGACAGGCGCTCAGGCGGAACAGCTGGGTGCTGCCTGCCGGAAGGGGGCCGGTGAGGGCAGTCTCGGCTTTCCAGGGTGCCCAGCTGACTTGCCTGGAGCTCGTGGAGTGCCTGTGCCCAGCGTGCTCAGGAGGGATGCTCTGGAGATGGCCCTGGGGAGGAGAACCCCGAAGCTCAGGGTGACCCAGGCTGTGCCCAGCGTGCAGTGCTGGGGCAGGTAGCTGGAAGTGCCTGCTGGGCTTCCTAGGAAGGAACAGGTCAGGGCTCGGGTCAGCACTGGCCCTGAAGTGCTGCCCCTGGCTGGGGAGAGCCGGAGGGCAGAGGGTGCACGGGGCTCTTAACACCCAGAGCCACCGGTCGGGGACCCAGGTGGCGGTGATGTGTGATGTGTGTCCGGGGCCGGCCCCCTGCTGACCCTGCCTTCGGAAGCTGGACGCTGCCCTCCCTGTCCCAGCCCCACTTCTGCCCCAGAGGTGCCTCCCTGTCTGCGCTCCAGTCAGGAGGTGTTTTTGTTTTTTTTTCTTACGCAGCCTCCCTGGTTTTTGATGAGTCCCAGATGTGCTCCCGGCGTCACTCGGGGCCGAGGGCTGTCAGGAGGAGGAGGCTCAGCGGCTGTGATCTCACTGTGCGGTGTCTCCGGCTTGTTGGGTTCAGTCGTGCCGGGGATGCGAGGCGCCTGGTGAAGTCCCCAGCGGAGCACGCTGTGTTCTGGGCAGGCTGGGCTGGAGGGGGCCGGACCCTCTTCACTTTTCCTTGCAAAATACTGTTGTGCTAAACTCGTGTGAGCATGAAAATGTGCCACTTAACTCTTGGAAACAGGCGTGTGACCACGCCCACACCCAGTCCCAGAGCGTTCCCATCATGCCAGTCCCCCCTCACAAGGGGACCCTGAACCCAGGACCAGCCAGTCGCATTGCCTCCCCACCCCCGGCAGTCTGGTGCTTTCCCTCAGTGTCACGTTTCCAAGACTGGTCTACCTTGTAACAGAACAGAATGGTATACACAGGACAGGAGAACGTATGTAGTGTGGATGAGACCGTCGCTTCCTTTTCATAGCTGAATAATACTCCACGGGGCAGCCAAAACACAGCTGCTTGTATAGCTTTGTAGTGGCCGCGTGGCTGCCTCCCCCTCAGCCACTGTGGCTCAGCCTGCTGCAAACACCCGTGTGCAAGGCTGTGTGGACGTCTGCCCCACTCCTCTTGGGCTCGTCCCGCGGAGTGGAGTTCTGGGTCCGAGGTGACTGGCCTGTACTCTCTTGTTGGCTCCCATCCCTCTGGGATGAGCCACAGCCCCTCGCCCTGCCTCGGGGAGCCCGGCGTTGGCCTGGCAGCAGTGGCTGGCTGGGAATCCCGCGTGGGACGTGGCTCTGCTCCGTATCTGGCTCGGCTCTTGGCCGCGGGGACTCTCGCCGACGTTCCCGAGGGTGAGGACATCGTGGTCCAGCCAAGGGCGATTTATCTCCGGTTGTTTTGAGCCCTGCGTCAGCTTACACAAAACCACAGAATCAGGGGGAGCGGCCTGACCGAGAGTTTTGCAACTTTAAAAAAAATGGTAAATTACGAAATCCCACATTTTCAATCTCAATTTCTGAATGATGTCCCATGTAGAGAGCAGGGGACGGGAGTCCGGAGGGCAGGAGGAGGGTCCCGCCTGCTCTGAGCCTCAGCCCTGGGTGCTCATGGCGAGGAAGGGCCCGATTCAGCCGCCAGGGCCGGGAGAGCCTGGGGGAGACCCAGGGTGCCTCGGACAGCACCGGGTGGCTGGGAAGGAGGAGGGGGTAGGGGCTGGTGGGGCCCCGGGAAGGCCCCGAGTGGGTAGGGCCTTGGAAGTGGGTGGCCGGGGCCCCCTGGTGTCCAGCTGGGAGGCGGGGGCCACGCGGGGCCCCCTGCACCTGGTTTTACTCCTGTCTCCTTTCCCTGCAGAGGGGACCAGGTTTCTTCACCAGTGACAGAGCCAGATGGCGATCTTTTTAAAGTAAATGTCTTGGAAGGCTCACACTGGAATCCCAGCAGCTGGGAGGCTGAGGCAGGAGGATTGCCCCAAGTCCAAGGCCAGCATGTGCCACATAGCGAGACCCTGTCTCAAAAGCCTAACAAACAAACCCCTAAGTCAATGTCTAGGAGCCCCCCAAAGCTAGCCACTTAAGTAAAAATGCAAAGCAGGTCGACGCAGGAGGGTGGTAAAACCTGGGAGGGGGTTGTGAAGGGCTGGGGTTTGGGGACCCCAGATCCTGATGAGGCTGTGAGAAGGAGAATGGTGGCTCCCAGAGTGGCTCCCAGACCCCCGCAGCTCCCGGGCCCCAAGAGAGACGCAGGCATTCAGTCCCGCACCCAGAACCGTGGGGCCGGAACCTTCTGGGCCGGAACCGTGGGGGGGAGGTGGGGGCTCCTCAAGGCATCCAGCACTTCGGGTGGCGCTCAGGCGTGGTGGGACCCAGCAAGCGCCACCTCCTGTCCCACGCAGGCAGGCGTGGCACTCGAGGGAGCCCCGGCTGCGTCCTGGCACCAAAGCACCAGGCCGCCCATCCGGCTGTTTGGAAGCCTGGCCCCGAGCAGCCGCAGCGTGGCGGCACCCAGTGCCTGAGGCTGGGCACAGCCAACCTCGCTGCATCTTCCCGCTGCCCCGAGCCCCGGCCCTGCAGGAAAGTGCCATTTCCCGGGACCTTGGCCCTCATGTGTGGGGAGGCGGGCACCGGCTGTCTTTCCTTCCTAGATATTTCCAGGGGATCCGGGCCCTGTCCGGAGGACGGAGCACCGTCCAGGTGGGCAGCCCAGGGCGCGTCTGGCTGCTGGCTCGGGGCAGCAGCCCCTGGGCTGGCCAGGCAGGGCCATCTCTGCTGGGTGCTGAGGGCAGCCGCAGGGATCCGCGCACCCCTGGGGCTGTGCCTGCCTCTCCTGATCCTTCTTCCAGCAGCCTGGACGGCTGCCCGTTCAGGTGGCGGTGCTGCCAGCCGGAGGTTACCGTGGTGCAGAAGTGTGTGCGAGGGATTTTTTGTCCCTGTGCCTGGGACAGTTTTCTCAAGGAGGAGACTACGCAGTGGGGCAGCCGGTGAAGCCCCTCAGGCCTCCCCGCAGCCCCGGCCGAGGGAAACCATTTCCCACCCCGTCCCGGCACAGGGCACAGGCTGCCTCCTGGCTGAAACCCCGAGCCCCGAGTAATGGATCATGAGCATCACAACCCATTTGCTGGGGGCCCCAGCACCCCGTTCCCGGTCCCACCCAGGTGCGACCTCTCCAGCCTGTACCCTCCAGCCCCTGGCCTGCAGCTCTGTCTCCCGGAGGCCTCTTGACCCCAGCGTGGCTGCTGGGCACCCACTCAAAGGATCCCGAGGCTGCCTGGCGCTGGCCCTGGGACTTCCATCTTGGAGAGGCTGTGTCCCTGACTCAGCCCGTGGGGCACCCTGAGTGCACCCCGAGGAGAAGGCAGACAAATGGCTCTGGCGCCCAGCCTGAGAAGCATTTTTGTGTGTGACCTGTGCCTCCTCCCTGCCCAGCCTGCTGTGTCGGTGACAGGCCCTCTGGGTGGCCCTCAGCCCTGGGACTGAATTCGAATCCAGGCCTGAGCCCGGGCCAGCTGGTCCTCTTCTTCCCGTGGCTCCAAGGTGCCCTGTCCTTCTGCAGAGCTGGCTGGGGACCTGGTGTCCAGGGAGGCAGGGGAGCTGGGAGGATTCGGACGGCTCCCCGGGCCGTCTGAGGGCTGCTCTTAACGGAGCATCCCGGCTTGTCTGGAATGTGTCTGGTTTCTTTCTAGCTTTGACAAAGTAGGTTAAGTGAGCGGTGAGGGGTTGTGCTGCTCCTCCTGCTTGGAATTCCGCCGCGGGAAAGCGGACCCAGTGGGCGGCCAGCGTCTTGGTTGTGGGGAGGCTGGGGCACGGCTGGCAAGGCGAGGGGCCAGCCTGTCGCCTCCCTCGGGCCTGGCCCCGGGCCTGCTGCCTGCTTTAGGAAGGGACGGGATCTGGAGGCCGAGACGGCTGCCCCCTGTCTGGGCGCCCGGGGTGGTAACGGGATGTCCTGCCCGCCCCGGGGATCTTCCCGCCACGGCCTCATTCCTGGAATTTCTGGGTGGTTTGTGGGGAGGACTGGGCTCTGCCCTCCGCCTCTCTCGGCCTGCGAATGCTGTGAGGAAGAGCAGAGCCCAGGGAAGCCCGGCCAGGGTCAGCTGCCACTCGCCGTCAGGGCCCGGGGCTGGCACCGCCTGCTGTGTTGGGCATCGCCCACCGTGTGTGCAGTCACATTGCCAGTGAACAGAGCGACCCTTCTGTGTGGCCACCAGGAGGGGCTTGTCTTTTTTGAGCCTCAGTTTCCTCGTCTGTGGAATGGGTGATAAGGGCAGTGACCCCATCCTTGTGTGCAGAGAGGCTGTGGACTACACCACGTCCCAGTTACTACCCGCATCCCGATGTTGCCTCTGCCCCCGGGACAGCTGGCGCCGGTCGTGTCCACAGAGTGGATCCGGGGACTCGGGGGAGAGGCAGGTGGTGACAGCCGGCAGCCAGGGTGCTCAGCCCGGCTGGGGATGCCATGGGCCGTCCACACAGAGCGCACAGAGTTACGAGAGGGGACAGGGTGGCATGCACAGGTGGCCCTGAGGTGTCATCGCCATCAGCGTGAGCTGTCGAGGACCCACACGGCCAGCGCAGGGCCACCCTGAGCCCGGCTCGGCCTCAGGTCTGCTCCCCAGTCTTCTCCCGGGGTCGGGCACATGGACACGGGCTTTTGTGAAGGCCGAGGCTGGAGAGAACGGAGCCGTCACAGTCTGCAGCGCTGTCTCGGCCTCCCAAAGTCCTCCCGTGGGCGCTGTGGGTGCCACCCGGGGTCTCCATGAGCCATCACTGCAGCAGGCTGCCGATGCCGCTCACGGTCACTCCCTCCGCGGCCCAGAGAGGCTGCAGGCTGTGAGGCACAGCGCTGGGCCTTGAGCCCGGTCTCTTCCCTGAGAGCCCCGGCTGCTGTCAGCACGGGAGGGAGCTGTGAGTGGTGGCCCGTGTGTAAGTCAGCTCAGTCCCAGGAGGCTGAGGCAGGCGGCTGTGAAGCTGAGGGCAGCCCTGGCTGCAGAGCGAGTTCTGGGTAACATAGCAAGACCTTATCTCAAAAAAACAAAAACCAAACCCAACCCCAAACAAGCAAAAAGGGGAAGAAGGAGAGGAGGAGGAGGAGGAGGAGGAGGAGGACTCAGAAACCCCACGTAGGCCTTATATGGCTCTTCTGATCTAGCCGAGAGGAGAGCTGTACTTTCGTCCCCTAAATATTTACTGAACAGCCACTTCTCAGACGCTGGCAGCTCAGCACTGAGCAGGCGCCGGCTTCCAGAAAACAGCCCAGGGCGTGCAGGAGCGAATCTGCCCGCCGGCCCGAGGGACGCGGTGCAGAGGCCGACCTCCACATCCGGCAGCTTTCCCAACAGGGAACGCAGCCGCGCCATGATGCAACAGTGACCCTTCCTGCCGCCTCCCTGCACGACCAGTGCGACAGTGGCCTCGTCGCTGAGGGACCCTGGCTAGATCTGGAGCACAGGAATTCGCCAGCCCCCGTGTGCACGGCCCTGTGGTGGTGGGCAACAGCGGGCAGCGGTGTGTTGCAAGCCCCGAGCTGGAGGCTGCTGTGCGGCCTCCCCGACCCCGGTGTCCACTGGCCCAGGCTCGTGTGCTTGAGCTGGGGCAGCCAGAGGCTGCTGCCTGGCAGGGCTACCTCACAGCATGCCCAGTCCGACGTGGCCTCTGCAGCCAGTGGAGCTCACGGTGGGGAAGCCAGAGGTGCAGAGGGCACTGCACTGGGCCCTGCTGGGCACAGACCACACGTGCCAGGGTCACTTGAGGTTTCCAAGTCAGAATCCGTACAGAGAAGAGAGGAGGCTCCCCCACCCTTCATCCGGAGCTCGGTCTGGGTTCAGTCGTGGTCCTGTCAGTCACACGTCTACACCCGACACCGGACACGGACACGGACACACAAGCACAGGGGCTGTAGATCTGTGAGTCACACACAATATATGCACATGTAGTTTTCTTTCTGTTTGCCGTGCTGAGGATGAAACTCAGGGCCTTGGGGTGCGGGCAGGTGCCTCCCCTGTCTCCAGCCGTGTTTTAGGACTTACATAAATCCTATCAGCAGCACAGCACAGTATTCTACAGCTGGCTTTCAGACAGCCGCTGTGTTTTGTGTTCACTACTGCTGACGCACAGACCTGAACGTTCCTCTTACCTGCAGTCTAATACCCCCACCCCGACTCACCACTGCCCTGGCCAGTGCCCTGTGCCCTGTGAGCTGTGCATGTTTGCCTGGACGGTCACAGCAGAGTCACACGGGCAGCGTGGTGGTGCCCATCCTGCTGCAGCACAAGTGACACAGCTCTAGGACGTGTAACGTCAGGGCACGGCAGTGACGTCGGCCCTGTCCTCCCTGGTCTCGCCCTGCGTCAGTGTGCTGTTGGTGCCTCTTTCCCAGCCCGGCCTGTGCAGCCAGGATGTGCATATATGGTGGGTGACCAGCCCGAGAGACCGGGGCTCCGAGAAGCTCTTGGTTTCTTTCCCAGCAGTGCCGGCGAGCACACAGAGTCCTCCCTGCCTGTCCCAGCTCTGGCCTACAGAGGCGGCCTCCTGGGACAGCGGCACCAGCGTACTACAAAGGGGCGGCCCCTCCTGCGACGCAGGCCAGGTCGGGACCTTGGAGAGGCTCCCGGGGTCGGGCCGGGGGCCACAGCATTCCCAGAGCTCCTTGGCTCCCACTGCACCGCCTGGTGCCAAGGCTCTGCTTCCTGGAATGCCCGTCTCGGCCTCTGTCCTTGCCCCTGACGTGGGAGTCCTGCCCCCCAGGACACCCTCCTGCGGCCACCAGCCTGACAGGCAGAGCCCGGGCTTTTGCAGGACAAGGATGGGGCGATGCCAGGGGCAGCTCCAGGTGGGAGAGACCCTGGGTGTCTTTGGTCAGCCTTCTTCCCTGGCTGGGTTTGGGTGTCCTCCTCTGTCCCCAACCCAGCCCTGCTCTCCTGGAGGCCAGGGCCAGTGTCATCCAGCAGAGCTCAGGCCACTGGGTGCTCGCAATGCCCCACGGGAGTTGAGGACCCCTGGGCATCCCCTCTTGTCTTTCTGTGCCCCTAGCAGATGTGACAGCCTGGGTCCTGTGGTGTGTGCTCTGTAGCATGAGACTGGGCCCAGGGACGGCAGCCCTCAGAGCTGTCCTGCCTCCACGTATCTCCACTTAGTGACCTGGGCTGGTCCTGCTGTCCCTGCGGCCTCCATGTCCTTCCCTGTGAGACGGGGTGACAACACCCCAGCCCCTGGGTTACGGGGATGATGGGAAAGCGGCTGGCTAGGACAGGCTGGAGCAGTCGGGGTTCTGGAGGACCGAGAGGTCCAGGAGGCCCAGCCTGAGCCCAGGGCATCCGAGCACCGAAGGCATCGGTCAGCAAGTCCAGGGCAGCCAGGGAGCCTTGGCAACTGCACAAGACGCCCCCTGAGCAGCCAGGGTGCCCATCCCTGGCCCAGCCCCGTGTCCATCAGGGCGGCTTCCGGGAAGGCACCTGGGCTGCGGCTCCAGGGCGGACGGGAAGGTTGGACTCCAGGGCCAGCATCTTCCCTCTGTCCCCCCAGCCCTGGCATTGGCTTCGTTGCCTGCAGGACATCGGGGCTGACTCTGGCAGACTGGCAGCCCTCGGCCTGGGTGTGGCCTGTGGCAGGGAGTCTCTGGTGTGGGCAATGGTATCAGCTACCTCTGTGGGCCACTAACTACTTTGGGGAGCCACTAACTGCTTGTGTGAACCACTAACCTCCCCCGTGAGCCACTCACTACCTCCAAGGGTCCTTAGCTACCCTGTGAGCCACCGCCCGTGTGGCGGGTCAGCCCCAGTGTGTGTGTCAGGCTCCCTGCTGGATGGACACCAGGAGACCGCGCAGCGTTAAGTGCTGCCCCGGTCCCTTTTCTATGGCAGCTTATAAAGAGCTTACTGGCTCCAGAGGCCAATGTCCAGGACCGTGGCCGTGGCATGGGACCCAGCAGGGGTGTCTCCCGCTGAGACTGTACCATCCCTTCTTACCGAGCCTCGGCCCGCCTACCTGACCTCAGCTACTCCGCATGGCTCCCAAGGGCCTCGCCCCTCACGCCATCAGTGTGCCGTGGGGTCTGGGAGGATGCAGCAGGGGCCACACTGAGCTGACCGCCCAGCAGCCTGCCGCCAGCTCACCTGTAAACTGAGCCCGACGTCCCAGGGACCAGATGTGCTGTGACCTGGGCTCACGGTGCGTCCTCCAGTGACGTGGGATGACTTCATGGGACCTGGCTGGGTCCTGATAAATGAACCATGGCTCGGGCTCAGGTGCTGTGATGGCCAGAGAGCTCGGCCCCAGGACCCCATCCGCCTGGGGTGGCTCTCAGCCAGAACCCTGGGTCTGCACCCCAGCTCCGCCCTCCCTGTCATCCGGGCGCTGGTCATGTAGCCCCTGTGTACCTCGGTTTCCCCCTCTGCAAAGTGGGGAGGAGCGCTGTTGCTGTGGCCGGCTCAGCACCCACGTCTGCTTCCTTCCAGAGCCCGCACCCAGCTGCCCCGAAGCCCAGGCTGCCGGCCTCCCCCGGTCCTCGAGTGGGTGTGTGACCATGAGCTGCAACCCAAGTGCCATCCTCCCCCTGGGGCTGGCGCTGCTGGTTTGCAGCGCCCAGGGCTTCCTCCTGCTCAACGGGACTGAGCTGCAGGAGCTGCTGGGCCGGTACCGGCAGGAGGAGCCACACGTCCGTACACGCAGGGCAATCCCCCGGGAGGATCGAGAGGAGATCCTGAGGCTGCACAACCAGCTTCGAGGCCAGGTGTCCCCGCCCGCCTCCAACATGGAGCACATGGTGAGTCACCGCCCCGACACGGGCGCAGCCCCCTTCTCCTCCACGGCCACGCGTGAAGGCGGCCTGGCAGCCAGTGCTTTCGTGGCACCTCTGTCACTGTGTGACCACAACATCCCCTCGGCCAGTGAGCCTCAGTTTCTCCCTCACGTGGTTCCCGTCACAGTGAGACCAGAGGCTGTCGTGAGATGCCGGCTGTGCGTCTGTCCCAGCCCCTGTCCCTGTCTTCCCGAGGGGTGAGGTGCAGCTGAGTTCACGAGACGTGGGGGTGGGAGGTGGGGCAGCCCCTGGGGCCCAGCACCCCCAGCCTCCGCTCCTGGACCTCGGGCATGTGGTCACCCTTGCATGATGTCCTCTGTCTGGGATGTCTTCGCCTCAGGGTTCTGCACACATGGCAGCGGTAGCTTGCATGACAGAAGAAGTCAATTTCCTTTTTGTGTTTTGATTTTCGAGCCGAGGTCTTGCTGTATACCCTAGGCTGGCTTTGAACTTGCAGCGATCCTCCTGCCTCAGCCTCTCGAGTGCGGAGATTTTAGGCTGTGCTGCTGGGTGTGGGTTTCATTCTAACGAGGGGGAAGCTCCTGCCTGTGAGCAGCCACTTCTGTCTCCGCACCCCGAGAGCTGTGCTGGAGCCCGAGCTGTCATCTTTACTTGGCCCGTCTCCCTTCCCCGCAGACCTGGGATGAGGAGCTGGAGCGGTCGGCGGCAGCGTGGGCCAGGGAGTGCATCTGGGAGCACGGGCCCACCAGCCTGCTGGTGTCCATCGGGCAGAACCTGGCCGTGCACTGGGGCAGGTGAGAGCCGCGTGCCTGTCTGTGTCCAGAGAGGGCTGGGGATGGGGAGCAGAAGCATCCATCGAGGTGGCAGGTGGGGAAACCAAGGCTGGGTGCCAGGAACACTTGCAAGTAATCGGCCGCCTCCCCAGCGCCGCAGCTCGGGCCGGCCGGAGGGAGCCGGGTGCAGTGTCCCTCTCCACGTCTGGTCTCATGGCTCTTCACCCTCTGGCAGTGTGGACAGCTGCCCACTACCACAGTGACCAGCCCAGCACAGAGAGCCGGGCCCTGTGCTCTCACCCAGAGAGGCCAAGCCCCCTACCGGGGCTCAGGGTCATCTCAGTGACCACAGCCAGGACCGCGGCTTGTGGCCTGTGGAGACGGAGTGCCTAGGGCCCTGAATTCACATCTGCACCACTGACCCCCGGGCCCTGGGCCGCCCTCCACATCGCCCTGCTCCCGGAGGCTGGGCTGGCCCAGCCACCTGTCACTGCAGCCGGAGTCCTCTGTCACTCTGTGCCTGGCTGCATCCCTGCCTGGCATCCCACACTGGCCTGAGCAGCCGCACCGTCCTTAGGGTGACTGCAGCCTGGCAGGTGTCACTGAGGGCGAAGGGGGGTAGCCTCCCTGAAGTGTCCGGCGGGCTGCAGGTGGCATCACGGCTCAGCTCAGTGCCCACGAGCTGCACTCCTCCAAGGGATTGGCGGGTGCCCACGGACCTCTCTGTGGCTGCAGCTGCAGTCCAGAGCCCCTGGCACAGCGCCCGCCTCCGCCTCCCCACACCGGCGTCCAGGCTGTGTCCTGCAGGGCTGGCTCTCTGCCCCAGGCCCGTGGGCTTCTTGGCCTCCGCCTTTGTCTCGGGATCCAGTGCTGGCTCGGGGCTGCCCGAGGAGGTCACGGTGCTTCCGCTTGGTCATGGTCACATGCCGGAGTCTCCTCTGAGCGGCCCTGGCTGCATCCCTGACCTTACTGACCAAGCCCTTAGCTCAGGGTCTCAGTGGCCAGGGCTCCTCTGCCTGCTGACCTCATAGTGTCCAGCGCAGTCTGTCCCTTCCTTGCTCGGCTGTGTGGGGAAGCCACCTTGTTCACGCTGGTGACGGTGCCACCAGGGATCTGCACCTGGCTTATCATCTCCTCTCATTAAAATAAAGCCATGTGGGGCCCCCCTGGCTGGCCTGTGGGGCCAGGAAGGGGCGGAGACTGTGTGGTGCCCACAGAGGACATCCAGGGGCAGGCGTGGCCAACAGCCCCAGCCTTGTGGCCCCCGTGGGGCTGGACAGGGTCAGGTCCCCACCAGTCAGAAGCGTTCACCAGCCCAGCTGCTGCATCGCCCCGCAACCCCACTCCTGCAACCCAGAGGCTGAGGGCACCTCTGCAGTGGCCACGGCAGGGCGTTTCCCAGGCAGGTGCGCGGTGGCCGGGTTGTGACACCCTCTCCCCGCAGGTACCGCTCGCCCGGCTTCCACGTGCAGTCGTGGTACGACGAGGTGAAGGATTACACCTACCCCTACCCCCACGAGTGCAACCCCTGGTGCCCTGAGCGGTGCTCGGGGGCCATGTGCACCCACTACACGCAGGTAAGGGGTGCCCGGCCTGCTCCCCAGGGCTTCTCTCCTCCTCCGCAGGCCTTTCACACAGCAGGCTGGAGGCCCCAGGTGCTGCTGGGCAGCGTCCTCCAACGGGTCTCTGTTCCCACGTGCGCCCTGCCAGGCCTCCACGTGTGCCAGCCTCCTCGTGTCCCTGGGGTGCCCACCCCTCGTTCACGATGCGACGCGAGCATGTGTTGCTTTTGCAGATTGTCTGGGCCACCACCAACAAGGTGGGCTGCGCCGTGCACACCTGCCCCCAGATAGACGTCTGGGGTGAGATCTGGAAGAACGCGGTCTACCTGGTCTGCAATTATTCCCCGAAGTGAGAGCCCCTTGGGGCGCGTTTGCCTGCGGGGGAGGAGCAACGCAGAGCCGCTTCCACAGGGGGGGCTTCCCCTCTGCTCAGGGAGTGGGGTGATCTCTGTGGGGGCCACAGCAGTCCGAGGAGCACGTCCCATCTCTCCCAAGAGACACAGCTCTGTGCCATCTGGGTCCCACTTGGGGGATTCATCCTAGGGCCCCTGCCCGCCCCCATGAGTCCCAGGCCAGCCTGAGTAGAGCAGAGGGTGGGTGTCTGCAGCGGGGTCAGGGCACTGCCCCCTGTGCCTGAAGGTGGGTGCCCAGCTGTGGCCCTGCCCTGCTCCACCACCCTGGGATGTGTGTGTTCCCTGGGGCTGGGGAGCCCAGGCCACAGAAGGGCCGGTGTCCCGCGGCTGTATGCAGTTCGCACCCCCGGCACCAGTGGGCCATCCCTGCCCTGCCAGAGGAGCGGTCAGAAGTTGGCACAGGCCAGGCCTCTTCATTTAACCCCGGTTGTGAATAGCCCTGACTTTATGCCCTGGCCCCTGTCGGAGCTTGATTTGCAGGGGAGGAGCAGAGGCCAGGGCTGGGGACACTGGCCCAGGCCACCCTGGGACCTGTGCTTCAGCGGGGCCTGACAGGGCTGAGGGACTCAGCTCCCTAATTCCCGCGGCCTCCTCTTGGCCTGGGGTGTCACCCTCGCTGCCGGCTGGGACCCTGCTGGGGCTGCCACAGGTGGGTGGGATGAGGGCTCCTCCTGACGTGGTTCTGGTCTGTCCCCAGAGGAAACTGGATCGGAGAAGCCCCCTACAAGAGCGGCCGGCCCTGCTCCGAGTGCCCGCCCAGCTATGGGGGGGGCTGTCGGAACAACCTGTGTTACCGAGGTAGGCCAGGCCCCCCTCCCTGCACCACCTCTGTGGGCTCCTCCACACCTGCTTTGTGGGCAGAGCCTGAGACCCCACCCCCGGTGCCCTCTGGCCAGGCTCCCAGAGGAGCTGGTGTCCACGTGCCAGGGCCAGGCTGCTTCCTGTGCCCTTGATCCCAGTGCCTCTGAGCACGTAACTTCCTGTCCCCGGGACTGTGTCCTCAGCGCTGGAGTCTGCTGGCAGCTGAGGCTCCCGGTGGGCACTGTGTGGCCTGTACTGGCCCTGGGCACAGCGCCCTCCTGCCTGGCTCACCCTGGCCCATCACCGTAGTTCTGCTTTTCATGCTGCTGTATGTGATATACAGGTTTCCTGCCCAGAGCTCTCCCATGTCTCGGGCCTGCCCTGTCCCAGGAGGGGCGTGGCAGGCCAGGAACCTGTCCACGTGGCTCTGTCCCAGGCTTGGTGATGGCCAAGAGGCCTTGCAGGATGGTGGGCCGCTGGGATGAACACTGTGCCCATGCCTTCGGGGGCTGCAGGGTCAGCTGCGGGCCAGAAGCAGATCCAGGGGCTCCAGGAGGCCCCATGCTCTGCTCCTAGCCAGCTGTCCTGCCCTCTCTGCCCACCCTGGGGACAGCAAGAGGGTGGGGGCAGAGGGAGGAGTCATCCCGACACCTGGCACAGTGGACCCTGCCCTGCCCCTGGGCCCGCCTGGAGCTCAGACACCCCTGCCCTGCCCGCCGGGACCTCACCACCCCAGACACCTGGGAATCCTGTCACCTTGTGGCTGCGCTCCAGGCCTTGGCCGCTTCGGGTGTGGCCTGCGGGTTTGAGTGAATCCTGCCCACAGAGGCCCATTTTCGGAAAACAAACCCACACGGCGGCCTCAGGTTCCAGTTTACCCAGGAAGGCGCTCCGTGTACCTGGTTCTGTGTTTTTTGGTGGAAAATGCCCAGCTCCCCTGGCAGGCTCCGGATTCTCTTAGCTGAGCGTACAGAAAGTCTTCCCGGAGCGCCTGACCCCTAAGCTGCTTGGCAAGGCTGACCCGACCTGCTGTGGTGACCGGGGATTGCGGATCAGGGAGGCCGAAGGCGGCTCCCTCCCCGGGCCCCCCAAGTGGGATGGGGGCGGGCGGGGGCTTGGGAGGGTAGAGCTCGGCCCCCTGCCTGGCTGCTCCCCGCTGTGGGGGCTTGGGGTGCTCCTTGCGCTTCTCCGAGCCTCGGTTTTCTTCCTGGGTGTGGGGCACCAGGCTGGGTTGGGGACATTTTTCCTCGGGGTTTAGCAGATGGCTCAGAGCTTTCTTGCCGGTTTTAGGGCCAGGAAGACACACACACAGCGCGATGCTCAGGGCCTGGGGCATCGAGGAGGCCTGGTCACTGCCCTGAGGGGTGGGGGACAGGCTGGGCCTGGCAGGCCAGCGCCCCTCTTCTGACGTGTGCATCTGAGGGCATACAACAAGCCCTCAGAGGGCCTGCGGCTCCTCCAGACTGGTGGCAGCCAGAGAAGCCTGCAATTACGCGTGCACAAGCTGCCGTGGAAAGCTGCCGGGCCCACCCCCGAGGCCACTGGGCTCCCCACAGAGGCCACGCTGAATGGCCGCATTGATGGCCCGGGGCCAGGGCTCTCTGGGATCGCGCCCTGGGGCTCTGTGGATTGTGCCCACCAGTTTTCCATGAGGACAGAATTCTCGGGGTGTGGATGACCCACACTGTGTGGCCAGGGGTCTGCTGGGCCTTGGGACCCGGGTGCTGTGTGAGCCTGGATGTGGGGCTCACAGTGGGTAGCAGCTGGGGTGGCTGCTGGCCTCGCTGGGATCCTGATAGATCTGGGTGTGGGGTCCACTGCTGCAGTCCAAGCACTCTGGGAGGCTGAGGCAGGAGGATGGCAACTTTGTTGAAGGCCAGCCTGGGCACTTAGTGAGCCCGAGGAAACTCGACTCAATGCAAAGGCCAGAGGCTGGGGAGGTGCGGCCCTTCCGAGCTGGAAACGTCCCACGACCTTGGGGTCCAGGGGTGCAAAGGCCGTACCCTGTGCACATGGGACGTAAAATTCAGCGGTCCCTTCTCTGGCTGCCCAGCCACAGCACGAATTGGCTGCGAGGGAATCGAGCAGGCTGTGGCCTGCAGACCTGCCCACCGGGCCAGCGGTGCCCGCTCTGGGCTCGGTTACAGCCAGCTGGGCTGGGCTGTGCTGTTCGGTGGTTCAGGCTGAGAGCTGCATTTCTGACTTAGGACGCTCTCAGCGGCCGGGGGGCTTTGTCGGGAAGGGGCCGGCGGGAAGGCCGGGGGCTGGGAGGGAAGGACCCACTGTGCCCCCCAGCCCTGCCGACCTCCCACCCCAGCCCACCTCCGAGCTGGCATCTGGATGGATTTGCCTAGGGGCGTCCTGGGGGTTTGAGGCCAGCTCGTGGGGGGCAGTTCATGGTCAGCCTTCGCAATGAAAATGAAGGTCAATTCTGGCTATTTGACCTGTTAATTAAAATGCCTTAGAGCACTGGGATGGTGCTTGTGGCTGGAGAAATGGGACCTTTTGATGTCCCTGCTGGGCAGAAGATTGGGACCAGAGGGTCGTGTGCCCGGCAGCTCCCGTGGCGTTGGCCAGCCCAGCTCTAGGTAGAGACCGGGTTGAGTTGGCCACGGGGTCCCCCCGTGCAGGCTGGAGAAGGGTGCAAAGCCTGCTGGTGTCGAGGTACAGTGGGGGCCTGCCTGTGACACAGGTCCTTTGACCCTCCTCCTGCTGGAGGGGCTCTCAGGGGCAGAGGGACCTTGGGGGCAGCGGCGGCTTTGGGTGGGTACCCAAGGGGGAGTCTTGCAGCTGCCTGTCCAGCAGTGACCCGGAAGGTTCCGTCCATGGCGAGCGGGCTCCGTCTGACCCGCTTTCCAAGTGTCCCAGCCCTGTTCCTGAAGCGAATCTTTGTAAAACCAAACCTCAGACAACCTCAGACACTGCTCTTTGCCGCCTCAAAGTGCGTTTCTGTTGAAGCTCAGCCTCTCTTTCCTCCCTGGCCCGGTGCAGAGGAGGCCCGCCCCACCACGCCCGAGACAGAAGACATGAACGAGGTGGAGACGCCCTCGGCCCCTGACGAGACGCACGTCTGGGCCCAGCCCAGAGCGGTCAAGCCCACGAAGCCCCGGAAGAGCCCTCAGGTCACCTACATGAGTGAGTGGCCGTCCCCTGCCTGGGGAGGCAGGAGGGTTGAGGGTCTCTAGGCCGACAAGGGGGGCAGGGAGGCCAGGGCACAGCCCTGCTCTGTCCCTGCAAGTGGTAGTTTCAAGGCATCAAAGGCCAGCGTTAGTGGAAAGTGACAGCCTTACCGGGAGGTGTTTGCCTGCCTCGGGAGGGGACCCGGCTGTCATCTGCTCCTCCGCACCGGGGTGGGCACAGGGCCCGTGATGCTCCGAGGTCACCCGTGCTCCCTGGGCTCTGGCGAGTGGGAGATGAGTGCTCTTCCCAGCTTCCGGAACTCCCGGACACAGGCTGTCCCCTGCGAGCCCTCTGTCCTCCACCGCCCCAGCACCTTACTTCCCAAAGCTCTCTGCTCCTGGCTCGGGCGCCTCCACTCCCCATCTGCCCTATGACCCCGAGATGGACCGAGCTGGCCGACGCCTGGGGCTGTTGTCCCCAAGCACCCAGCCTTGTCTTGTGTGTGGGAGGGTCTGTCCACTCTGAGGTCCTCCAGCCGCCCACCGGCCTCTCTGTACCCCCTTCCTTCGCACGCCTGCCCTGGGCCCTAACGCAGAGCCGTCCCGCAGCCCGCTTTGACCCAAGACATGCAGCTGCCCTGCTCCGCTCTGTCCAGAGCTACAGGACAGGGCCAGTGTTCCTAGTGCAAAATTATGACATGCGATTTTCAGATAATACATCTCAGACTATGCTGTGTCCCTGTAAAATGAAACGGAATCCCTGCTGCTCCTGCCGGGAGGCGGGCATCTTCCCTCCTCGTCCATCTGCCCCCCCACCAGGGCCCTGCAGGGTGCTCCCCTCCCCACCACCATTTACCAGCATTCACAGTGCCTCGGCCCACCGCTAGGGTGCAAACGTCACGCGTGGGAGGCACTTGCCCAGGTCCAGCTGCATGCACGGGGCTCTTTTGCCGTGATGTGGGTTTGTAGTCCTGACGTCCCGGGATCCTCCAGCGCTGGTTCTTGCAGTGACTGTGTTTCTCTTTCTCTCCAGCCCAAGTTGTCCAGTGTGACACCAAGATGAAGGACAGGTGCCAAGGCTCCACGTGTAACAGGTGAGCAGACCCGGAATCCTCCCTGAAGTGCTGCCAGGGCATGGGCCAGGGTCAGTTGGTGAGCTGCCTCCCACGCCAGGCTCTGTGCAGTCTCGTGGGAAATAGTGCTGCCCACAGAGCTGGCAGTCCGCCCTGTACCATCAGTCAGTCCTAGTGTGACACCCAGGAGTTCCCTGACTAAGGGCTTGCCACACTTTAGTTTTTGTAAACCCAGGCAAAGATTTACCACGTGGCCACCCCTGGCACTCTGAGTCAAATAAGTCTCGCTGATGGGAAATGTCCTGTGCATTATGGGAAACATCTTGTGCATTATGGGAAATGTCCTGTGCACTGTGGGAAATTTCATGTGCATTGTGGGAAATGTCTTGTGCACTGTGGGAAATTTCATGTGCATCATGGGAAATGTCCTGTGCACTGTGGGAAATTTCATGGGCATTGTGGGGATGTCCTGTGCATTATGTGGTGTTTACCACTCATTTTGGCCTCAACCTAGCAGATGCCAGTATGAAGCCTCCCAGCCCTAACAGCTAAAAAGATCTCTGGACACATTTACAAATCTCCCCCAAGGCGTACAATCAGCCCTAGTTGAGAGCACTGGCCTGGAGGACAGCCTCAGGCCCTGGTCCCCTTCCCTAGGTCGATATTCCAGGTCCCCCATGTGTTGGTGGAGCCCCCAGGGATTCTCGGGGCACCAGGTAGATATTCCAGTGTAGTGTTTGGCTCCCTGCAGGGAGAGGGTGACAGCCTCAGGCCCTGTGAATACATCTGAGGGCATCACTGTTTTGCCTGGTGGCTGGCAGAGCAGACGGTGCCTGCTGGCACACCAGATTCTGCTGATGCCCTTGGCGTGGGCCCCCTCAGGGCCAGCACAGCGCCAGCATCTTGGAGCATTTAACACGTCACCCACCATCCGCTCTAGGGCTGGGCTGGCACCTGCTGAGTGGACAGAGCCCCGGGGGACACGAAGAAAGTGCCCTCTCCTGAGGCCTCGCCGAGACGCTGCCTCAGGCTTGGGGATGCCCCCCGGGGTCAGTACCGTGCTGCAGGCCTCAGGGTCTTGGATGCCCCTGCAGGGTCTGCTGAGGGCACGTTCCTGACCCGCCTTGCTCAGCGAGGGGTGAGCTCAGGAGGTTGCCAGTGTGACCCTGAGAAACGCAAGCCTCCCCGAGGACCTGCAGGGTCTGAGCTCGCTGGGATGCTGTGACTATGACCGGGAACAACTCCTGGGCGTGGGTCAGGGGCCTCCTGCCAGGTACGGGCTGGGAGGCCGACACTCTTCACGTCTCCCTGTCACCCAGGTGCCAGCTTGCCCAGGCTTCCCTGGTTTAGCATGGGTCCCAGGAGACTGCTCAGCCTGGGTGCTGGGTGCTGTGCCACCCAGTGGGAGGTGGTTTAGACAGAGGCTCCTAAGAGCACAGAGGGGCGGGATGAGGTGTGTGTGGCAGTGTGGAGAGGGGCCCGCTGTCCCCAAGCTGTCCGCAGAGCTGGTCTCCTCCATGTGTGCCCACTTCTGCACTCCAGCTGGGCTTTCCTCTAGGGACATGCTGGCCCCTGGTGTAGGAAGAATTCGGGGGTCACTGCAGCCTGAACGTGCAGGGAGCTCTGGATGATGCCTCTGCCCGCCGAGCTGCAGTGGGTTCCACTGGAATGGCTTTGGCGTGGGCCCCCAGGCCTGCAGGATGGACAGGGCCACTTATTTGGGCCCATCATTGATAGCACTCCAGTAGCAGACAGGACCTGTCCAGTGGCCATCAGCATCCCTCGAGAGCACTGGGCCAGGGGACTGCTGAGAGCTCAGGATCGTTGGTCTAAAGCTGAATCTCGTTATCTAAAGCTGTACTGAGAAGCCAACCTGCGGTTCCCGTTCTCTCTGTGGGGTTTGGAACCTGGTTTGCCAGGAAAATGCTTGCCTGGGACTGTGGCTTTGGTGCCAGCTGAGGGACAGTGCGCCCAGGCTGAGCCCGCCCTTGACAGTTCGGTGGCTCTGACACTGGTCAGCCGAGCCCCATGTGGCTGCCTTTGGGAACACAGCCGGCGGCACCCAGATGGTGCTGGTTCCACATCGAACCCCAGAGTTCTGTGCCAGCTCACAGCATGAGGGCGTCACACCCAAGTGCCCGATGGGGAACTGAGCAAGGACTTTCCCAGCAGAGGGCCTCAGGCCACCCAGGGCCTCTGGCAGGGACAGTGGGGGTTTGTCCCCACTGCATGGGTGAGGCCCCTGGGCCACAGGTGTGACTCGGCCACCCCCGAACCCCAGGACACCCAGCCTCATCTGCCAGCCTCATGCAGCCTGGCTCCTCTTTCTGGCTTTTACGCCACTCACAGGGCTTCTCTGACGCTCTAAGATTTTCCTAAGGCATTCAGGAAAAACCACAAAGTACAAAGCGAACGGGAAGCTCCCAGAAGCTCCCCATCTGGTGCGTTTCCTCCCAGCCTTTTCCTCCGAGTTGGATGGGGCTGACGTGGCTGGCATGTTTTCACTTAGACGTTTTCAGTTAGTATTTTGCAACGTCCATAAATATTCCCCCAAGCACGTCATTTTTAGTGGCTGTGTACTATGCCAACATGCAGCCACGTGGAGGTCTGTGGGGTCACTTCTTGGTCACCTGCTAGCTTATTTCTGACAGCTGGCTTGGTAGGGAGATGCATACCCACCTCCGGCGCTGTCCCTGACCCTGCGCGTACAGCCTGCCTAGAAACCCCCTCCATCTGCCCCCTTCAGTGACGGTGGCTTTGGGGTGCTGGGGAGCCCCGACTGTCTTCTGTGCACTGTGCAGTCCTCGGCTGAGTCTGCACTTGTGACCTGACGGCGTCTCCATTCATGAAACTTCCCTAAGTGGAATCGTGGGCGGGGAGGGAGGACACTGAGGTCACAGTGAGCTGACCTGCTGCCATGATTACCCCTGGACACCACTTGGTTCCTGACCGCAGGTACCAGTGCCCGGCCGGCTGCCTGGACTCCAAGGCCAGCGTCTTTGGAACTCTGTTCTATGAGAGCGTAAGTGTGGCCGTGTGGCCTCCCTCCCCTGGCTGACCCTCAGGACCCCGTAGGGTTGGGGACGGGGAGGGCTGGCCTCTGTGGGCCGGGTGTCCTTCCCTCTGTGGTCAGAGTGGGCGTGTCTGGACTGCCGCGTGCGTGTGCCACCCTGGGCACGGCTGGGCCACACCAGTGCCCGTCTGTCACCACACAGGCCGCTTGGCATGCTCCCGTGGGGGCGGGGAGGGCTGCTTGTCACCAAGCTCATGGGAAGAGCCATAGGAGAGTCCCTTAAACAGTGCGGGGGTCGAGACGCAAAGGCGTGGTTATGGGCGAGGGGACAGAAGCGGGGAGCTTCGGCCCGGCCCTGTGGCGTCAGTGGATCGAGGACAGTGGCTGGGGGAGGGGGTTCTGACAAAAAGGAATTCAGGTCCACGCACCCCCAGTCCTCCAGCATCTGCCGGGCTGCCATCCACTATGGCGTGCTGGACGACCGCGGCGGCCTGGTGGACGTCACCAGGAACGGGAGGAAGCCCTTCTTCGTCAAGTCCCAGAGGCACGGCGTGGATTCCCTGAGGTGGGTTCGCCCGGGCCCTGGGCTGTCTCTGGGTTCCCGAGGTGCCAGCGGGGCTCCCAGTGGTGCTGACCCGTAGGAAGGCACGGGAAGAAGAAGACCTGAAGCTGGGCTCAGCGCTCACCCCGCAGCCGTCCCGCGTGCCCGCTTCTGGCCAGTTGTCCTGGGTGCGGGTTTCACTCGGTTGCAGTTTGAATCCCTTTTTACTCTCCTGACCGCCGACGGTGCATCACAGCGAGCGGTTGGTGGTGTCCTTGAGTGTGTGGCTCTTTCCTGTGTGGTGGTGGGTGAGCAGGGTCTGGCAGTGTAGCCCGGCTGCCCTGGGACTCAGGGCAACCCTCTTGCCTCAGCCTCCTCAGTGCTGGGGTTCCGGCAGTTAATTCTTTTTTTTCCTTCGTCCCGAGGCTGGACCCCAGCCCGGCACCCTTGCTGGGCAGGCCCCGTACAGCTGAGCTGCTCACGGCCCGGGCGGGCTAATTCTCCGTCAGCACTTTCCCCAAGAATGACACTTTCTGATTCGGGTTTCGTTTTCACAGAGTTTTTTTCCCCCAACTTTTTTTTCCTTTTAACCGGTTGGGAATTTTTAATTTGAAGTCTGGGATGGCAAACGCTCTGAAACCTGAAACATTGAGGCCAGCGTGTCAGTGCTTAGACGCGTTTGGATTTGGGTCGTCTCTGACTTTGGAGGTTGGATCAGGGCTCCCGGAGCAGGAGAGTGTCCCTGAGTCTCCTCACGTCCGATCAAGCAGGGGGCACACCTTTGTGTCCCCTCCCTCCCCCGAGACGAGGTTTGCCACTTAGGATGGTGGCTCCCGGGCAGGGGCGCTCCTGTCCATCTGCCCACTGGGCTGCAGTGCCCAGCAGCACGGCTTCACCTCCTCTGCCTGCCGCTGGGGGCCGGCTCCTCCTGCGCCCCTTTCTGTTAGGGGGGTCACGGAGGACCCTGCCTCGTGGCAGCACCCAGCCGCGGTGGATCTCAGGGTACTTCGGTTGGCAGCCTGCCCCTTAGACAAGGGCGCAGGAGAAGGGTTGGGGCTCCCTGGTCAAGGCCCAAGGAGAGCAGGGGTGAACACACTCCTGTTTCTGACCCTGTCCCAGTTGTGACTCACTGGGAAAACTTTGTAACCATGGAAGGATTCCCATTTGCAGGGCCTCCTGCCTTGGGGGATGCGGCAAGCTTCCCCTTCAGGGAGGAACCTGGCTGGTCTTAACGCTCTCAGAGATGTTGGCCAGGTGACCAGTGTCGGCCACGCCTGCCCCAGCGGGGCGGCTGTGCAGCTGCGCGGGGTGCAGTGTCGGGTCCCAGGGTGTCTCGAAGCGCTGTGCCCCGCCTGCGGAGCGTGGTCCCCGGGGTGGGCCTGGCTCCACTGGCCCTGCGGCCTTTCCTTCCCGAGCTGTACAGGAACGGGCTGCAGGCTTCTGGCAGAATCCCTGGCAGCAGAGGGGAGCACCCTGCTCCAGAACCTTCCAAGGGGCCGGGAGGGCAGAGGCAGAGGCTGGCGTGGACGCCTGTGGGCAGTGCTGGCTGCTCCTCCGGCGCTGAGCCCCTGTTTTCTTTTCCAGCAAATACAAACCTTCCAGCTCATTCACGGTGTCACAGGTGAAAGGTAAGCGGCCAGGCCCCGAGTGCATGGGTCGGGTCCAGGCTCCCCGGGGGTCACCAGCGTCGCCGCTCGGGGCTCTGTGAGGCTGTTTGGCTCGCTGACTGCTCTCTGCACATCTGCACTGGGAATCTGCCGTCCTCGGGGGCTGCCGCGTGCGGCTGCCTGGCTGGGCTCGCCGGGAGCCTCCTGGCTAGCGGCCACCTGGAGCACTGTGTTGAGGGTCCGGGCCGATCTGGGCTCCCCAGAGCTTGGTGGATCAGTGATGGATTAGTGCTGTCTGTCGTGGACCAGCAAGGGGGGCTCTTCCTGCTGTGCAGTCAGAGGGGAGCCGGCTCTAACCGGAAGTGGGGGGCCGTGTGGGACCAGTCTTGGGCAGGAGCTGCCCCGCTGACCACTGAGTCCTTTGTTGGACCAGAGGGCAGGAACCTCTGGTCATCTGCCTTGGAGGCGAGAACATCTGCCTGGCGACCTTCATAAAAATACCTTGAGGTGCTTGTGTGATCTGGATCACATTAAAAACACACAGAAACAGTTTTTGATGTTTTAAAACGTCTCCTTGACCTAAATCCTATTAGAGTTGGCCATGATGAACATCTGTGGGGATATTTTAGTTTGTTATGTGTTAAGAAAGATGTGTGTCAGGAACGGAGAAGCCGTGGAATCTGAGATGGACTTGCTTACAGTTTGGTGACCTGAGCTTTTCTTTACATAACTGTGCATTGCAAACATGTTTTAGTGCTTTCATTTTTTATGCTCTTCTAAACCCAAATTTTGTGACACGCCCCCCCAGACTCCCACTGACCAAGTCCCTCCAGGTCCTCAGCGGTCTGTGGACAGTGGGCTGTGCCGATGACAGACTGGCCCTGGTCAGTAGGCTCTGGCCCTGAGCCAAATCCACCAGCCATCCATGTTTCTAAATAAAGTTTTATTTGGGACCTGGCCACAGCCGTTTGGTGACCATCAGGACTGCCTCTCACTACGGCAGCAGAGTGGCCAGGTCCTGACCCAGACCATAGGTCCACACAGCTGACAACGTCGAGTCCCTGTCCTTTAGAGAGGACGCTCGCCCAGCCCTGGACATGCTCTCAGATGACCACGGGTGGCCAAGGCAGAGCTGTTTTGTAAGCACAACAGAGGGTCTTGAAGGGCAGTCACCTGCCCGCGGGCTGCTGCGGTGGAGGGAAGGCCCGGCCAGGTCACAGCTCTCCCTAGGACACGTGTGTGGGGTCCACGTCGTGTAACCACCGTAGGCTGGCTCCCTCTGCCTCACAGGTCCTCTTTCTGTCCACAGAGCAGGACCTGGACTGCTACACCACGGTGGCTCAACTCTGCCCCTTTGAGAAGCCGGCTTCCCACTGCCCGAGGTAATGCATGGGTGTCCCTGGAGGCAGGTGGCCTTGGCCGCAGGGAGGACCATCCTCCTCGTCTCCGGCTCAAGCTTTGCCGTCCTGCCTCCGCCCAGTCCCGGGTCTCTGGCAGCTGGGTGAGCTCTGCACCTCTACGTCCTGGCCGGGTGCTTCCTGCACTCGCTCTGGGGGCCTTTGGCTAAGTGCACTGTGAGCCGGGGACACAGTGTACCCCGAGACGAGATGCGTGTCACCCTACCTCCCACTGCGTCCCCTGCCAACCCAGGGTCCGTGGCTGCTGCTGGGGTGGGGCTTCCTGCTGGGAGTGTCCAGAGCCCCGTCCCCTGCACCCCGTCCACACGGAGCCTGACCCAGCTTCTGCCCAGCCCTGGTTAGCAGCTCCCGGCTGACCAAGCGTGTCCTGGTCACCCCTGCTCTGTGGTTCCCATGCAGCCCATTGCTAAGGGACTCGGGAACTCTCTCATGGTGGCCTGGTGGAGGGGGCCCAAGGCAGGACATGGCCACGTCCCCTGGACCCGCAGCTGCCCCCACCTTTGGCGTACTCCGGGAGCATCTGACTCAGCCACCCACCCCGCTGTGGAGCTGGGGACTCAGTAGAATCCTCTGAGCACCCGAGCCCTCGGGGCCAAGGACAGCTCTGGGGGTGGAGAGATGTAGCATCCCCCTAACGTCCCCAGAGCGGGAAGATGCTCTCTGTCTCTGTCTCTGTCTCTCTGTCTCTGTCTCTCTATTTCTATCTCTGTCTCTCTTTCTATCTCTCTCTCTGTCTCTGTCTCTATCTCTGTTTCTGTCTCTCTGTCTCTGTCTCTCTGTCTCTGTGTCTCTCTCTGTCTCTCTATCTCTCTCTCTGGCTCACTCTCTGTCTCTGTCTCTCTCTGTCTCTGTGTCTCTGTTTCTCTCTGTCTGTCTCTCTCTGTCTCTGTCTCTCTACCTCTCTGTCTCTCTCTCTCTCTGTCTCTGTCTCTCTATCTCTCTGTCTCTCTCTCTGTCTCTGTATGTTTCTGTCTCTCTGTCTCTGTGTCTCTCTGTGTCTCTCTATCTCTCTGTCTCTGTGTCTCTGTCTCTCTCTGTCTCTCTGTCTGTCTCTCACACACCTCCTCTCTCCCCGCCTGCCCCTTCCCTTCCCCTGTGCCCGGTCCTCTGCTGCCCACCTGTCAGGGCCCAGTGTCTTCTGCTGCCCTCCCGGTGTCCTGAGCAGAGCTGGCGCCCCCTCCTGCTCTTGCCCCGTCCCTGAGCCAGGCGCACTGTGACCGGGCAGGGGGCGGGCAGTGGTAAGCCAAGCCCGCTGGTCGATGCCCACGGTGCCCCGGGCTCTGGCCCTGGTGGGAACCTTCCCGCCCGCCGCCCGCTGACGCCCCCTGCTGTTTTCCAGGGTGCGGTGTCCCCCGTACTGTGCGGACGAGCCGTCCTACTGGGCCCCTGTGTTCGGAACCAACGTCTACGCAGACGTGAGTACTCCACGTCCCCGGAACCCCTCGTCCCAGCGCCTCGCTGCGCGACACCCCTCCTTTCTGCTCCGTGGCCCGGTGTCCCCGTTTCTGCAGGGTGCTGGCTGGCACCTCCTGGCCCTGTGAAGGTGGCACAGTTGTGCCTCACCTTACCCTAATGCCTTTTTTGTGCCACATTGCCTGTTTTCCCACATTTGATGTCCACATCTGCAGAGGACACTGAGCTCCCCGTACGGTGGTCCCTGGGGCCCTGCAAGGCCCAGCCCAGGCACATGGGGGTGGGGGGCTCAGGTCAGCACCCACGGTGCCACGTGGGGTCCCATCTGCCCTTCCCACCTGCCCTGGCACCGGGGTGTCGTGTGGTTTCCGGAAGGGACTCCCAGAGCCTCGCCCGTTCCACCGGCCGCCTAGGGCTGAGAGACGTGGTGGCCTGGAGGACGTAAACACAGTCCCGGCTCTGCTGGCAAAGGCCGGGGATCTCGCCACGTCACTCGCCTCTGTGCAGTGGCCAGAGCCGGGATTATCAGGGCCAGCCAGCACTCCAGGTCTAAGGTCCCGTGAGTCACCGTCGCTGGGCTCCGGCTAACGTAGGACTCTGTATCCAGCCTGCCCTCAAGTTCTGTTTCTTGGGAGAGGAAGTAGAGACGAGCTCTCACTGTGCAGTCCAGGCTGGCCTTGGCCTTGCGGGATCCTCCTGCCTCGGCCTCCTGAGTGCTGGGGTTACGGCAACCCGGCTCCTCGTCCGTCTGTGACTCCCCCCACTACCATCCGCTGCCCTCATTGCCCCAGATTCCTGTAAATGTGAGGCAACCTTCGTGACTAAGTTCCCCCTCATCTTTTCTCTTTCCTCTTTAAAGAGTGCTTTTCTTTTGGAAAATTATCAGCTAAAATTGAACTTTAAAAGCTAGTACTATTTTGAAGGAGCAAAATGATGCACGCTGGTTGTTACCCGGAATGTGTGGACCAGATGTTGCTGTGAGGGACAGAGACGTGATTTCAAGTGATTTAAAAATAAAGGATAGGGCTGGGGATTTAGCTCAGCGGCATAAGCACCTGCCTTGCAAGCAGGCAGTCGTGAGTTCGATCCCTGGTACCGGTAAAAAGGAAAAAGACAAAAAAAAAAAATAAATAAATAAAATAAAATAAAATAAAATAAAGGATAAGCTGGCGTGGTGGCTCATGCCTGTAACCCTAGTACTTGGGAGGCTGAGGCAGGAGGGTGGCCATGAATTCAGGGCCAACCTGGGCTACACAGTGAGTCCAAGCCGGACTGAGCCACACAGGGAGACCCTGCCTCAAAAAAAAGGATGTGAGTCGGGCATGGTGGTGCCACCTGCATTTCCTGGCCACTAAAATGTAAGTGCTATAAAATGCCACAAGCTGAGCCCCAGGGTACAAGGCACAGAAGCTGGGGGTAGACACGGTTGCCTCAGAGCTGAGGCTGAGGCAGGAGGATCACTGACGCCAGCTCAGCCTGAGCTGCACACTGAGACCACGCAGCAGCTGTGCAGTGCGGAGGAGGCAGCGTGGCAGGAAAGGTGACCCTCAGGAGGACGGCGCTGCTGCGCGTGGGGACCCCAGTCCTCCGTGGGGTTCTGGAGGGGCCATCCTGGGTGCCCCAGGCAGGGGCACTCTGCCCTCCGTCCTTGCCCTGGTCCCTGTGTCTCCTGACCGCACCTGTGGCCACCCTGCACCGGCCTGTGGGATGCGAGGGTGAAGACCGGATGTGGCCAGGCGTGCTGACCGGGCTGCTGCTCACGGCCGGCCTGGCACCCAGCGCTGCCCGGCAACGTCTGAGCTGTCCTGGGAGTCAGTGCTAAAAGGCTGACCAGAAGGAAGACGCGGAGGAGGAAGAGGAAGAGAAAATGGGAGAAAGGAAAGGGGAGAGAGAAGGAGAAAAGCAGGCGCGGGGCGGAGAGGGGAGGAGCACAGAGCACAGCGCTCCCTGCTGGCCCTGCTTCGGGGTCACTCTGTGCTCCGGGAAGCGTGGATGCCTGTGGACACCGCCCACGTGTGTGGCTGACCTTGGTGTGGGGACCGCCCTGCTCCTGGAAGCCTCTCCCCGGCTGCCGCAGCTGCAGGCCGAGGCTCGGGGCCAGGGCAGGGCTGTGTGGTCCGGTGCTGTGCCGAGGCCGGCCTCCCGGCCTCCCTTGAGGACCACGGACCCCTGCCCCTGCCACGGGTGTGCGGCACTGGAGCCCGGTTCGGGTCTCCAGGTCCCCCAGGCATCCTGCTCTGTGGGCTGGGAATCTGTGTTTCCCGTGCTCCTAGGCAAGGCCCCTGCCGCAGTCCAGGGGCGCCATCTGAGGACCCCAGGGTGGCCTCTGCAGCCCCGGGATTGTCAGCTAGTTGGGGTAATGGTGATGGCCGTCATGGTACACTGCTGTGAGCTCAGGGTGCTGTCTCTTCCACTGTGCCTCAGCGGTCACCGTAGCCTTCCGTCCCTCATCTCCGCCACCCCTGCTGGCACAGCTTCCAGCTGCGGGCCTGGGCCTTGGCAGGGGCTCCTGGCTCTGTTCTTGGCCAGGCGTGGACTCCCCAGCCCCCGCCGCTGTCCTCTGGGAGGCCTTGGCGTCATCCTGGTCTTCAGTGATCTGGCTCACTGTGTTCACGCAAGCGGAAGCTTCAGACAGGGCCACTGAAATGTAAATGCTGCAGAAGGACTATCCCTGCACCGAGCCACCGCGCAGCAGGGACGGAGGACGAGGCAGACACGGTGACCCTGGGCTGCCCAGCCCAACGTGCCGGGCTGGAGGAAGAGGAGGGGACTGGCCTCCTGTGGGTGTGAGCCCAGGCCTGGAGGGGTCAGCAGGGCCCGGAGCTCCTCTGGGATCAGGTCAGAGCAAGCACTGTCACCCTCTGTCACCGTGGCAGCGCTAAAGAAGACCCTCGTCTCCAGCGGGGCTCAAAGGGGGCCCCGTCTTCCCGCTCGGTCAGGTGACAGCCCCGAGGCCTGGCTTCCAGTGAGCAGTCCTTTCAGGGACAGGAACAGTCCGTTCAGGACGGAGCCGCCCAACAGTGATTCCAGAGTCCTGCAGCCGCTTGGTCTCCCTGCTCTGAGGTGCCGCAGGGTGCCTGCCGTCAACCTCCCAGAGTTGCAAACCCCTGAGAACTGTGGATCCTTATTCCAGGCGGAAGAGGCTCCCCCTGCACACGGGGTCACCCGCTCCCATAGCACGGGCTGTGGGGTTCCCTGTGCCCAGGCCCAGGGGTTCTGGAAAGTAGGCGCCTTCCTCCCTGTGCGTTGGCAGTGACTCTGTGGACGGCAGCTGGCAGCCCCGGAAGGCGTCAAACTTCGCACAGGCCGCGGGCTCCCGCTGGTGTTTTCAGGGGCCACCTCCACAGTCACTAGCGGGGGCCCTAGTCCCTGCCCACGGCCTTCACAGTCTCTGAGCCCACGTGCCCTGCTGGCCCGCGTGGTTTCTTTTGCTACAGAAGGTCACACATTCGCAGGCCTGGGGTCAGGCTGTCACTTTGGGGGCCTTTGTTCCACTGACCACAGAAGTGGACCCATCCCTGCCAGTCCAGCTGGGATCAGCTCAAGTCTCAGCCTGCTGGTGAGCTCGGCAAAGTTCCCGAGTCCCCGAACCCAGCCTTCCCGCCTGAGACGGTCAGTCCCGTCCTGGCTGGAGACCAAGACACCCAGCAGAAGGCAGGAGCACAGCCAGGCGGGCCGTGCACCCGGGAGGCCCTTCAGCCCTCTCTGTCCTCCGCTGGGCAGGCTGAGACGCGGGCATCAGCTCACCGGGCAGCCAGGGCGGCCAGGCTGGAAGGAAGGAGACTGGCGGTGGGGGTCACAGATTCAGGGGGAGGAGCCTTGACTGCCTTCATAGTCACCTGGTCCTCTCTGGGGTGGTCACACAGATGGCAGGCTCAGCCTCTACCACTGTGCCAACCTCAGGGTTTGGAGGCGCACAGACTGCCGGCACTCAGCTCTCAGCCCCCCTTGTCTTAATACTGGGCCAGCCGAGCCCTGTGGGAGCACAGCCGTGGGCCCTCCCCAGGAGCAGGTGCACTGGGGCCAGGAAACAGCGCCCGGCTGCCTGCAGACCTCGGCCCCCTGAGCCCAGCTGCCCTGGCCCTGCCTCCACTCGTAACACATCTGCTTCTACCCCAGGGTCTTTGCACGAGCCATTCCTCTGTGCAGTTATGCCCATGGCTGCGTCCTGTTCTCTTTTCTCTCTCGGTTTCCTGGCAGCTGCTCTAAAGCAGCCTCCCACGCGTGTGTGCGCGTGTGTAATGTGTCTGTCTCCCTGCTGAGCCCCTGGTGCCGGCTCACCCTGGGTGCTCAGGGAATTATTTCTGGATGAATGAGGGGGGGGGGACACCAGGCCTCCAGAGACCGCCAGGTCCTGCTGGCCGTTTCCGAGTGGCCAGGTGGTGGCTGGCCTGGGGCTTCTGGCCCTGTGTGGTCAGTGCTGACCAAGGCTTCTCCTTTGCTTGTAGACGTCCAGCATCTGCAAGACGGCCGTGCACGCCGGCGCCATCCAGAACGACAGTGGGGGCCACGTGGACGTGATGCCTGTGGACAAGAAGCGCAGCTACGCGGGGTCCCTGCGGAACGGGGTGCAGTCCGAGAGGTGGGCTGGGCGCGGTCCTCCCTCCCTGCGCCTCTCCCCGGCACCCCCTGCACCCCACTAGCCCTCGTTGCTTTCCAGTGAGGACTTTCACTGCAGGTCGTGGCTCAGATCCAAGCACAGGTGTCCTGCCACCCGCTGGGGTGGCGCAGGGCCTTCTCCCTGTGTAACCACCCACCTGCACGGTGCACCACGCGCCCCACAGACAGGCGGGGCGGAAGCCAGGTTGCGTCCCCATGTGAAGGTCGCTCCTGCTTCCTTGGCATGAGCGGAGGTCGGGGCCTGGCTCTGCCTCACACCGTCCGCCCTGAGCCTCAGTGTCCCCGTCTGAACGGAGGGTCCTGGCGGTCTCCGCCTTCCCCAGGGAATTCTCGGAGGTGGTGCCCTTCTGGGCTCCTGGGAAACGAGGGTTCTGTCACCACCTGTATCTCACCGGGGTCTCCGGGTGCTCGTAACCCGTCTCCCTCAGTCACTGGCGAGGTGGACCTGGCTGTGCCGGTGAACACGGTGTGGACTGCGGGTGGCGTCTGTGCCTTTCCACCCATGGGGCTCACCCACCGCAGTGGGCATCCTCTTTGGAGACTGTGCTCCACTCCACAGCTGGTTCCTTGAGCCCTCTCCCCCGAAGCTCCGCCCTGGGGCAGAGCCATGTGCTGCCCCACATCAAGGGCCTGGCCAGGGTGCAGAGCCACCAGCCCAGTCCTCCTCCATCTCCCTGGTGATCTGGACAGGGCATCACAGCGTGTGTGCCCTGGAGTATTCAGAAGCAGAGGCCAGCTCACGGTGGGGTGACCTGGTCCCCCCGCCACACTCTCAGTCAAAGATGGCGATGTTCTCTGCCCTCTCGGGCTCCCTGTGCAATGTCTCATGTCCTTGCAGCCTGGCCGGTCACCAGTGGGTCGGATCAGGGCCCTTGCCAAGCTGCGTGTGTCTCTGTGGGTGAGGGGACCCAGCAGTGTGTCAGCCCAGCGGGCAGGGCACACGCGATGTTGGTGATGTTTTATGTGCGGGACTCGAGCGTCCTCGGGGACCCCAGGCCCCAGGCAGGAGTGGCGAGTGTCTGCGTGTTCTTCTGGGGCCGAGCGGGTGAGAGTTGGCAGTGGGAGGGCGGCACAGCAGGGAGGGGACAGCAGCCCCAGTGTGGCAGGCTGGAGGGCACATGGCGTCTGGCAGCATCGGGACCCTGCTCTGCTGCTTGCAGAGGGGTCATCTTGGGCGGCAGTGTCCCCCAGCCCTGTCCCTCCTCTGTCCCGAGTCACCGGGAGGCGCTGGTGTGGTCCGTGTGCAGAGGCTCACGCGGCTGCCGGGCAGGGTGTGTGGTACCCTTGCTTCTGTGTGGGGGCCCCGGAGGTCGGTTCCCAGCCTCGAGGTGCCCCGGTTCTTTCTGCCAGGCCCCAAAGGCTCCACGCTTAGAAACAGCCTCACCTGTGACCTCCTGGACATCACATGTGTCCCTCTGTGCCGGCCACTGGTGGGGGCAGACCACACAGAGATGAGGGTGCCGGTGGCAGCCCGGGGTCAGCGTCACAGCGCAAGGCACAGGGGCCGAGAGTGTCAAGTGGGGTCCTGGCTGGTAGCAGGGCTCCCGCGAGGACATGTTGGGGCCTCCGCCTGACCAGGCCCTGTGCGTCCCTGCTTCTTCGGAGGTACCTTGGCCTCCCTTTGCTGCCCTCACCCACGCAGGACTGTGAGAGTCCATTCTGGAGACCAGGCTGACGCTGTGCCCAGGGGCCGCTGGGACCCTGGAGGGGCCGAGGTGGTCCCCGAGGGAGGCGCAGGCGTGGGACACCCTGACCAGCCTGTGGAAAGTGGCCTGCTAAGTTTTGATCGCACAGACGGCCCCTGGCCCTCCTGAGCCCAGGCCTGGCTCTGCCCGTCACAGCGGCCAGGGTTTCACAACGTCCTGCGGGAAGGGGGTTCCCGGAACTTGTGGAGGGCAGCATGGGCAGGGAGAGCCCGGGTCAGCAGCTGCCCTTCCCACCTGCTGTGTCACCGGAAATGTGGCAACAGTGCCGGGTGCCACCCATGGTCACTCGGTCTTGGACAGCATCCCCCGGGCAGAGGCACGTGTGGGACTCTCCTGCGACCGTGGGCACTCGCGCCAGCCTGCTGTGCTGGGTGTGTTCTGGGGACCAGTACACGGGGGGGGAGGGAACAGGGTGTCAGAGTCCCCAGCTCGAAGGCAGGTGACCGGGGGCACAGGGCCGCCTCACCGCGGGCCCATGCAGATCCATGGAGCTGCCCCCCAGCCCGTATAAGTTCTTAGTTCAAGGTGGCATCTCCCTAAGTCACCAAGTTGCCCAGGCTGGCCTCGAACTTGGGATGCAGGGTCTCTGGGTGTCAGTGCCTGCCAAGCGCCTGTTCCGGGCGCTGCTGGGAGGAGCTCCTGCCGCCTGCCCCCCAGGTGTGGAAACTGAGGCTCGGGGAAGGGGCTCCCTGGCCTGGGACCTTCACTGGGATCAGGGTCCATGTCCTGGTTCTCCATCGGGGACCCACCGGGGAAACCTCGCGGCCCTGAAGCCTGACCGCTCAGCCTGGCTCCCTGCTCCGCTCCTGCTCCCCTCGCCCGCTCCTCCTGGGCTGCATTTCCAGAGTTCGGTCCCGGAGTAGCCAAGGGCCCGAGCTGCCACGTAGCAGCAGCAAAACAAGCGGCCACTCCTACGGGGCCGCGTGTCTGGGCCAGGGCACATCCAGTCCACCCGGAGTCTCTCATCGTATACGAGGACCCGGAAGGAAGTCGTGCTCATGAGTCCAGGCTGGGACCCCATGTGCTCAAACCCTGGCTGGCTCTGACCTTGGCAGGGACCTCACGGCCCTCCAGGTCACAGCTGCTCCTGCCCCCAGAGCTTTCCTGGTGCCTGGACACAGCGGCCCCGGGAGGTCAGCGAGAGTGGCGGGGATGGAGGAGCGGGCGGGGCCGGGAAGGAAAGTCCTTTCGCCTTTAAAATTTAGAGCCGGGCAGAGAGCGACCCATTCAGAAACCGAAAAGCAGCGCTGAGGATTCCCCATGTTGGTTTTGGGGTCCCAGGAGCTCCCCCAATTCCGTGTTTGCATGCAAAAGTAAAATGTTAGCCCATGGCTGCCTGCGGTGTGGACACGTGAATTCACATGGTTCAGAGGAAAGCTAGGTGCTACAAATTACAAAACTCTTAAAATGAGTCTGAATCATTATGGCCCTGAATCTGGCAACAGCTTCAGAGATACCAGGCCAAGCGACAGGGGAGCCAGCAGCTGGGAGGTCCCTGTGTGGACAGTGGGCAGAGTGCAGTGAGGCTCCAGGGAAGTGTCCCCCTGTGCAAGTGACCACTGCGCCCCGCTGCGGGGCTGTGAGGGACGCCCCTGCTGCCGGGGGGAGCTGGACAGTGAAGCTACTTTTCCAAAGTCAAGCAGGCATTTACCATCAGGCCCCGTCCGGCACTGGGGTCACTGCCACGCAGTGGGCAGCCCTGTCCCCCTGCTGCCCCGCCTGGGGGCTCCCGGCTCTGGCAGAGATTGGAGTGCAGCCCGGCGTCTTCAGACAGCGGGGTGGTGGTGGGGTAACCAGGCTGTGGGGTCTCCTGGCCAGAGCAGGGATTGCGCCCACCACTTGCTGCATGTGGGAGGAGCCGTGTGGCACATGCTTCTCTTTAGCGGTTACTGGAAATGTCCAGGAACATCCAGGCAGGGTCAGGGGTGGTGGTCAGGGTGGCACGGGAGAAGGCGGATGGGCATCTCGAGCACCTGGGTGGCTGAGTGACCCCACCACACCTGTGAGATCCACTGAAGTCCCCTTAGAAAGCCGCTGTTCCACACCGAGGGTCTCTGCTCAGCTGAAGGATGTGGCGGTCACCCCTGCCCCCGGGAAGGTGACCAGGAGCCCACACAGGGGTGGGAGTGAAGCCCAGACCTCTCGGGGAGCTGGCACGGTGAAGGGGGCCGTGTAACTTCCCGACACCCGCCCGGGACTCTGCTGGCCACGAGGCCGCTGTCTCGCTGACAGGTGACTGTGAAAACCATGCGGGAGCTGGAGGGAGAGGCCGGTTCCAGACAGGACCGGTCAGTCTCGAGTTAAGAGGAAATAACTTTAACAGCCTTGACCTAGATTCGGGCTGAGCTCACTGTGGAGCGCACAGCTTCGCCAGCTCTGCCCGGCCCAGGCGGTGGCTTCCCGGATGGCCGGGCCGTGGCCCTCACGGCTGCCCGCCTGCCCCCGTAACCCGATTCCCTTCTCTTCTCTTGCAGCCTGAGCGCCACGCAGGACGGAAAGGCCTTCCGGATCTTTGCAGTCAGACAGTGATCGGCGGCGGGGACAAGGGGCGTCTGCAGCAGGGATTCGGGGTGTTGTTTGTTCTCTTTGTCACTTGGACACGGGGAGGGAGTTTCCTGGAATGGCTCGGTGTCGCGTCCCTCGGTGGCCTCTGGCAAGGTGCCCTCTCATCCACCCCTCGCCGTGGAACAGCTGCGTGTCAGCATCTGCACGTCACCGGCCCAGACCTGCAGGGTGCTCCATGCAGGGCCCCTCCCTTAGGGCCCTGCCGTGTCCCCCGAGGGACAGTCTCCGTCCCCACGCGCTCTCTTGGGGGTAGAGGGCCAGCTCCCGCCTCTGAGGCGCACAGCACTGGGGTCTCTGGACAGGTGCTGGGCCGGCCAGAGCGGTGTGGGTGGGTCTCGGGAAGGGACAGAAAGTAGTTATTTAACAATAAAAAGCCGCGGTCCGACCCTGCCGGCGGAGGAAAAGGGCTTCCTGTTTGCTGGTCAGACAAACGGCTGGAGGAGAGGCCGGGCGCACCTCCTGCTCCCTACTCAGCAGTGCTGGTTTCTTTAGGGTTCAGCAGCCGCCCCGGGGCGGTCTTGTCTTTGCTGCCCTCTTCATCCTGTGGCCTCTGTTTCCCGCTGTGACCTTTGGTCTCATCGAGGACCGATGCATGTGGGTCTCTTCTGCCTCCTCCCGGCCGGCCCTGGTGGCCGGGGCTCTGTTCACAGCCCACTCAGTCTCCCGTCCGGCCCTGGTGGTCCCGGGAAGGCGGCTGAGAAATCTCCAAGGGGGACCACAGGCGGCTGCCCAGGCTGGGTGAGCTGGTACTCAGCGGAGGGAGGAGCGGGCCCTGCGCGTCCTGCCCAGCGCAGGCTGCTGTGTCCTGGTGCGGGTGGCCGCCGAGGTGGCCGCGCTGGAGGAGCTCTTTCCGCTTTGTGGCCCGGCTCCAGCAGCAACGTGCGCTCCGCCTCCACCAGCCTCCGGGAGCCGGCCAAGACCCGGCGGAAGCTGCGCCCTCTGAGCTCGCCTGCCGCACGAGGTTGGATGTCGCCCTGCCGCGCCACCTCACCGAGCCTGCCGGTGTCAAGAGTGCTAGTGTCACCAGGGAAGGAACTAAAGCCAGAAACCAGGCGGGTCCAGGCGGCGCCTTGGTCCTTTGGTGCCCCATCCTCACACACCTGAGGATTAATCGCGTTTCCAGAAACAACCGTCCGCAGGGTCTGTCCAGAACACCCGTCGGTCACCGGAGCTGGGCGCAGCGGGACGGCGGTGTTGCTGTGTGCCTCGCAGTCTGTGGACCCGCACGGGCAGGCACCTCGTTGCCTTGGGGTGCAGCGCTCAGGTCCCGGAGCACCCACCCCAGGCCACCCAGAGTTCCAGCGTGGCGGGCACCATCGCTTCCGAGTCCCCGTCCTCCCTGTCTCCTTCGCTGTCCTCTGCCCGGGAGGCAGGGGACAAGCCAGGGCCGGGCCCTGCGGCTGAGTCCACCCTTGTAACATTTGAAACTGGAACCAGTTTCCCCCTGGAAGGCGCTGAGTGGGCGCCTAGGATCAGCCTCTGTGACAGGGCCACCGCGCTCTGCGCCCGTCTGGCGGCGTCCCCTCCCCGGGGAAGTCCTGGTGGCTTTGGGTTTTGCCTTTGTGCGGGGAAGGGGCTCGGATTCTTCAGTTACCTGTAGGCTCTCTCGGCCCGCAGTTTCATGTGTGTGCTTTTTTCTATGAAAAATGATGTATTTTCCTAACCCATGTACAAAGTTTACTGTGTTTTTTGTGCTTTGTGCCGACAGGGCCGTGCGGGCTGTGGCTAAGGTTCAATAAAACTGGTGGGTTCCTCGGACGGCTGTGTGGTTCCTTGTGGTGATGGAGCGATGTGTGTGGGAGACCCCAGGCTGTTTTGGGGGGCCGTGCCCAGGGCGCTGGCCTCACTGTGCGTGACGCGGAGCTGCCCTGGGGACCCCACCCTGCGGGAAGAGCAGTCACAGGGCTCAAGTCTGGGCGGGGCCTGCCTAGCAGCGTGGGGGGACGCTGTGTCCACGCTGCCGTTGTTCTGCTGTCACTGAGATCATGGCGGTACTTCAAGCCTAGAAGCCTCCTTCATGTCCCCGCGGCTGAAGTCCAGGGCCGAGCTGGGCCGTGGCCGCTGTCCTCCAAGGCTTGGCCTGCAGAAGCTGCGCTTCTGGTCTCGTCCTCCCCTCGTCCCTGGTGTCCGCCCGCCCTTTGCAGCACCAGGGATTGAACCAGGGATGGCCTGCCTCTGAGCTGCACCCCGACCCGACCCCTGGAGTCCTCTTTTGGAGACAGGGTCTTGTTAAGTTGCCAGGTGGCCTGAACCTGAGGTCCTCCTGCCTCAGCCATGTGGCTGAGATTAGAGATGTGGCCACCATGGCCAGGTCCCTCTCCTCCCAGGGACCCAGTCCCAGTGCACTAAAGTACCATCTCGGTGACCCGGGCACCCATGACATCTATGTCGAGTCCCCTCAGTGTGGGCCTGCGCTCTAGGAACCCAGGCCTGATTGGGTCCAAAAGATCCCTCCCAGGTGTCACCTCAGGAGGGCTTGGTGCCCACCACGCTCCAAGAATTCATCACCAACAGCCGTGATTGTCCCTGGGCGGCAGGAGCAGCAGAGGTTTGCAAGCCAGGCACCCCTGGGCGACGCCTGCACAGTGACAGTGCCCTGGGGACGGGATCCTCTGTGTGCCTCTCTTGTCCATCACAGACACAGGACAGGATGGCCCCCTTTCTGGGCAGACCCCCGCCGTGTGTGGTGACAACACGGCCCAGCCACCCGAGGACAGAAGGGGCCAGCGGGGACGCTGTGGGCTTCACCCTCCTCACCTCGTCCCGAGGCTCAAGGCGGGACCTCTGGGTCAGCACACTGGGTCATCTCCTAAGGCTCCGGACCACCGAGTCGCCCTCTCTGGTGGCCGGTGTCCCTGAAGAGCTGTGGGGACAGGTTGTGGTTGTCACGCGAGGAGGGACAAGGACCCCCACCAACAGGGCTGCCCACTGTCCTTGCAGGTGACACGCTGTCCCCACCAGAGTGTGACGGGGGACTGCAGGGAGGGGACCTGTGCCCCGTGCCAGTCGTGGAGTCAGTCCCTGGGCTCAGCCAGGCCCTGCTTTTGTGTCCCTCTCCATGGCTGGCCACAGCCGTCCCCAGGACAGTCATCACAGCCGCCCAGCAAACAGGACAGACCCGGCAGGGGGGTGGGCTTGTGACAAGTGCTGACGGCAGACACAGGTGGCCACCTGGGGTACAGGCCAGCGCTGGGGTCCCTGCAAGTTCAGGGCCAGCCTGGCTCTGCCCGGAGACCTTGTCCCACCTGGACCTTCCGGCCCCTAGAAATGCGGTGGGGAAGCTGGGCTGGGACCTTCCCGGTGCTCCTCCCTGCTCCGATCTGCCCTGGCAGACTGGGGTGGTGCCATCAGGAACCGGGCCACAGCCTGGAGGTCTCCCGTATGGGCCTGGCCTGGCTCCAGGGGGCGTGAGGCCGGCCTGGGTGTCACCCTGCCCGCCCCACACTCATGCTCCCGGGCCGAGGTGGCGTTCAGAAGGGTGTCGCAGCTGGGAGAGGAGGACTTGCCATGCCAGCTGCCCCCTGAGGGTCCACACGGGGCGCAGAGCACACACAGGACGGCTCGGGGCACCGGTCTCCTGCAGCTACAGCCGTGTCTCAGAGGCCACTGGGTGCTGGGTGTCACACGTGTGACTGCTGGTGACAGGGACCCAGCGCAGGGTGTAGGCCAGGCCAGGCATGTGGGTCCCGGGTGCCCCCACTCTGCTGTGCCTGGGGGACCCTGCTCAGCATGCTTTCTCCTGCAGGACCCGATTACACACAGTCTGGGCCTGAGTCCCCGTGGTCCACGCGGCCTGGATGCTACCGGTGACATGACCAGGCCGTTCCTCACTTGGGTGAGCGCTGCCACCCAGAGCAACCTGCAGAAGCAGGTGGCCTCTCTCTCTCTCCCTTGCTGTCTGTCTGTCTGTCTCTGTCTCTCTCTCTCCCTCGCCCTCCAACCCGGGGCCCGGGTCCAGGCTTCCCACGGAGTGGCCTCTCCAGCCCACTTTGTATTTTTGTATTTTGAGACAAATCACTAAGCGGCCCAGGTGGGCTCAGACTTGCGGTCCTCCTGCCTCAGCCTCCCCAGTGCTGGGATCCCGGGTGTGCGCAAAACTCAGGTTTTGCATTTAGCAGACTTTTTACTTTTTCTTTGGGCGTGATGTCGGACTTGCAGAAGAGTTGAGGCGTGGTGGGAAGGGACCCCACACACCCTGCACTTGCCCCCCCCCCCCCCCCGTGACGCCGGCCCTCACCGCAGGGGCCTGTCCTTTGCTTCCCCTGGTCCTTGCAAGTTACCACAGAGCACCGGGTGGGCAGCCGGCCCCTCTGTCCCCAGACGCTGCAGTGCGGTCCCTGGGACCCGGGACCTGCTCTCTCAGAGCTGCAATCATTTGTGGGGGGCAGGGATGGCCGAGGCCCCCAAAAGCAGCAGTGTCCAGGAATGGCGACAGCCAAGGTGCCAGCGCCCCCAGAGAGACCTGGGGGTCCGGAGGGAAAGGGTCACAGGGCAGGTCCGGGTGGAGTCCGGGTCTCAGCAGCACAGCAGACCAGCAGCGGCCTCTCAGCTGCCGACATCTGTGCAAATGGTGCCCGAAACCCGATGTCTCCCCATCCCCCATCCAGCCCCCTAGCCAGCCCCCCGCCCGTCTGTGCACTCTCTGTCCCTCTGTCCTTCTGTCTGACCTTCCTTCTGTGCGTCAAATCATCCTCATCCACCATCTGCCCGGGTGCCTGCCCCCACCCTCCGCCCACGCTGTCTGTCCTTATGCCTCCCACCGCCCCCTCCAGCCACCGCCTGTCATCCATGGCGCTTGCATTTGCACGGAGGAAGCAGACAGCAAACAAGGGGACGGGTGCCCTGTTACGTGACAGGGGTGGGGAGGACACCGGAAAACAGGCAGGAAGAGCCGGGTGGGGCAGGGTCTTGGTCCAGGTGGGCGGGAGGAGGGAAGGGGCGGCCAGGGCTCAGGCCCACCCCGTGGAGACTGGGCAGGACCCTGCCCAGCGGCCCACTCCAGGCCCCGTGCTGGCCCAGCTTCCTCCGGCCGTCCAAACCAAGAGCTCCCCCGGGTCACCGATGCCAAGGCCCAGGGTCATGGGCAGCCCCGACTCGGGGGTGGTGGGCTCTCAGTGCTGGGACTTGGGGACCCTTGAGCTCGTCCCCGGTGACCTCCAGGTGGGTCCCCTAGCCCAGGCTCTCGGGCGGAGGCTTTGGTGGGTTTCCTCCGGGTCTGCATCTTCGCTTGACGCTCTGCGGCCCTGGGCTCCCTGTTGGTTTCTCTTTAAGTTTAGTTCCGTGTTTGTTCCCCGAGAAGCCCGCAGCAGCTGCCCCAGAGACATCACCCCCCGGATGATGGCCTCCCGTCTGGTCCTCCGTGAAGGTGTCCATAGTCGGGGAAGGGCGAGGCTGTCCTGGGGAGTGGACCCCACGTCCTCGCACGGAGCTGCATCCCAGGCCTGTCCCTGCCACTCTTCTTATTATTTTTAGACAAGGTCTTGTTAAATCGCACGGCTGGGCTCAAACTTTCCTCCTCCTGCCTCGGCCTCCCAGAGTGCCGGGATGAGAGGCCGTTGCCACCACGCCCGGCTTAGCCACGACTCTGGGACACCCATGCCTGAGAGGATGCCAAGGGCACAGGCGTCCTGAGTTCCAGCAGAGGCGCCAGGGTGCAGGGCAGGGCCTCAGTGCCACCCACTTGGCACGGGCAGAGCGCTGGCCTGGCCGAGCAGGACAATGACAGAAGGCCCCAGCCGGCTGTCCTGCAGGTCACCAGAACCTTGGCGTACCTCAGGGACTCGGGTCCAGTCCACTGCAGATGGACAGGGCGGGGCAGGGCGGGCCTTGTGCCTGGAGCACCCCCTCCCGGGAACGGGGGAGTGTTGGGGCTGATGGCCAGGGTCCCAGATCGCTGCATGGCTCAGAGCACACAGACCAGCGATTTGGACCCAGGAGGCCGGTGTGGCCCTGGACTCCCACTTCTGGTCCCCGCCCCTTTGCCGGCCACTGTCCTATTCCTGTCCCTGTCCCTGCAACAGCAGTGTGGTTCACATCACATACTCACTCAACAAACACACGCACACATGTGCCACCCTGCAGAGCACTCTGTGCGCCAGATCAGATACCGAGCGCAAGCTGCAGCCTGTCCCAGGCCCTCGGCTGACCCCCCCTCCGAGCGTCCCCCCTCCAGCCCCTTATGTAAGTGTTCCCTGCGGCCCAGAGACTTCCAGATGGCCCTTCGGTCCGCCCGCCAGCTGCTCAGGGCCCTGAGCCCGCCCCTGCCCTGCCCTTCCCCACGCTGAGCAGCTGCCGAAGAGGAGGCGGCAGCCTCCCGGTGCCCGTGACCCCACACGTGGGGCGCAGCCGCCCAGGAGGTTTCTCTTCACTCAGGCGATTGAAGCCGGATTCTCCCAGCGGGCAGCTGCTCGCTCCCACGCTCGGGGCTCCCTTCCGGTCTCAGGGCTGCGCCTGCGGGCGGACGCGGGGCGGGTGCGAGCGGGAGACTTGGACACACTCACCAGACCCAGACGCAGACAGGCCAGGCCGGGGTGCCAGGCTGGAGCCGGGGGCGGCAGGCGGGCTCCTGGGCAGCTGCCATCCTCCTCCTCCAGCCGCTGGCGGCCCTGCTTGGGGGGGTGGGGGGCTCGGTGTGCTTTTATTAGTTAGTTTTCTTGTTGAATTTTTATTAGTAGGTGATCACAGTGCACAACGGCCACGCTCCTTCCCGGAGCACGGGAGCAGCTGAGCTCACCTCACAGCCTTCCTCCCCTCCCCGT